TTCCTTGTTCTTCAAAATGGAGTTGCCACAAGTACTCACAGAACACACAAAACTTCGAGTATTATTAAGAATTTTCAGACAACCAAGCTTTAGGTTTATTACTTTCCTGATGGATCATTGATACCATCATTGTAAATACCAAAGTTACATTCAGCTTCTGGCAGTGAGGGCGAGTCATAAATCTTACAAATTCTTTCCTCACCTTTTCCTTTTCTCAGGAAAAGACGAGTGGTGGCCATGTGAGCCATAATGTGACCTCCAATGGGTTTCAATGCGTTGGCAGCACCAGCAAAGGCAGCACCACCGTCCACTTGTGCAACGACTTGATTTGTCACCACAACTGCAACATGGAACTCATCGGCAAGTTTCAATAAATTTTTCAAGAATGCTGAAAGTCGAATTTGTCTTGCGTTCAATTCACCTCGTCCAGAAAATTCTGAACGATACAATCCAGTACAACTATCAACAATGATGACTGCATAATGGCTTTCAGCCAATAATTTTCCTGCTTCTTGCAATAATTTTTCTTGGTGATCACTTGAATAGGCCCTAGCGAATGTTACGTTATCTAATACTTCGGAATACTTCAAGCCAAATCTTTCTGCAATTGGTTCCAAACGTTCAGGACGGAAGGTACCTTCCGTATCAATATATAATGCCTTTCCTTCACCACCACCATTCTCGAGAGGTAATTGACAGGTTACAGCGAGTGTATGACAAAGTTGTGTTTTTCCAGTTCTAAACTCTCCGAATATTTCTGTTAGCGAATTAGATTCGATACCACCACCTAGTAATTTATCCAATTCTTTGGATCCCGTTGAAACTTTGGTAACTTTCTTTCTCACTTCTTGATAGGCCGCTGCCGTTGAGAAACCAGAAGGGAAGAGTTTTTGTGCTGCTTCAAGAATCTTGTCGCACTTTTGTTCACTGATACCTTTAACGTTAATGATGGTCTTCTTTGGAGTCATGATTAGAGATTGTACAGTATGGAAACCACCAGCAACAAGTTTCTTTACATCGGTTGCTGATATGCCATGGTTTTCTAATTCTTGGATTGGAATAAAAGCATCTCCTACTTCTGCGGTTGCTTCCGATGATTCTTCAACCACTTCTTCCTCCTCAACTTCTTCAACTTCTTTTGATTTGGATTTTCTTGCCATGATGATGATATTTGTTGTTGTTGTTGGTTAGTGCAATTTTTTTTTGCTTGTGATGATGAATATTTTTTCGACGGACCGGATTTTGTAGATCAATGCTTCGAGTGAATGGAGGAAGTGAAAGAGACAGCAAACACTGGAAGTTTTTTTGTAAGTGAAAATGAGTATACTTGTGCGCACATTGACGTTGAAACTGTTGAGCAGCAAACAAAAACGTGTAGAATGCAGCCACATTTCCCGACAAACTTTCTTAGATTGATCTTGTGATGTGTGAACTTGTGCTATTCTTGTTCATTTCCACATTTAAAAAATCATCATGATGAATTCTCAAACAGAATCAACTGTCCAACAAACTGGAAGAGACCAACAACGACAATCATGAAGTGGCAACGAAAAATGCCATCTCTCAACAACAAAACGAACAACAAAACAACAGTGACGACGACGAATCCAAATCACAATTAATTTCAGCAGCCAAATACAAAGCAAAATTATTACTCGCCCGAGCGAACAAAAAGAAGAAGAAGTCTCACAAGGGAAGCAAGTTATTTGAAGTTAAATTTTGGAATTCAGTTGCCGTATCCTCATGGCAATGTGATTGTGGTGGTAGGTTTCTCTCAATGATGATGACGATGAACATGTTTTTGGTCAAATGATGAACATGATGAACATCGTTTCATATTATGCTCTTTTCTCTCTCGTACACAAGGTTGTTGCAGTGCTTGTTCAATCTGCAAAAATTCTTGTCTAGAAGTTTGTGTGGAATGTTCCTCTCGACATCCAGCGGACGTTGCTGATTGTAAAGTTGGGTGGGGAATTTGTAACCACATGTTTCACGTACATTGTATTTTGAGATGGTTGAAACATCATCCAGTTTGTCCATTATGTAACCATCCTTGGGAATTTCAGGCACATAATTAAGGAGCATTGTCACAAGACCAACTGGCCAACAAATAGAGGCCTAAAACATGTCACTCTTGTAAGGTAGATGAATGGACATGATCTGAGAATGATGGAGTGACTTTTTCCTTTCTGAATCGAGAAGAAGCAATTCGTGAGAGTCCTGACTTGTCGAAACATAATTTCATTCGTTTGGAAACCATGTCCTTAATAATGGATTCTTTCATGAGATTTATATTTCTTTCAAATTCTAGTCGTAACTTTTTGCGTTCGAGTTGCAGCTCTTTCAACGCTTGTAATAAATCCAAACTTTGGTGATGATTATCAATGTTTGGAGTTAAAGTAGATGAGTCTATGGTACAGTTGGGAGACAGAAACTGATTCGGAACAGAATCACATTTAGTGTCAACTTGTTCAATCAAATTTTTCTGTTGGCAACATTCATGTTTTAAAATGTCAATTTCATGAGTCAGTTCCTCAATTCGAGTTTCATTTTCTTGCTTTGTTTTTCGAAAGTCTTCTTGGATTTGAATCAAATGTGAGGAACTGTTCTGAATGCATTCATTCTGTCTTGTTATTTGTCTGTGAAGTGATTCGTTTTCTTGACGTAAATTTAGAACTTCTTGTTGGACCGATTCCAAGTCAATGGTCGATTGGTTGAGCTTTTCTTTTTCATCATGCAACTCTTCTGTGAGAGCGTTCAATTCACAAGTCAATTGATGAATCTGATTCGAAAGAAAGGCATTCTCCTCATTTGCATGGTTCAATTTTTCTTTATATTCTTCAAATTGTCTCTTATAGTGCTGAATCACTCGTTCATTCTCAACAAAATATTGTTTAAATCGTTCTTGCAAGTCAATGGGTGATACCTCCAGAGACAACAAGTTCAATAGAGTTTCTTCTGGAAGAGCATACGTAGGAGGAGGGACATGATAATGATTTAAATGCAGGATGGACGAAGCGTTTGTTCGACCCGACAACGAAGGTCGAGGCAATTCTTGTCTTCTCGGAGAACCAATAGTAGCAGCAGCACCAGCAACGACAATACTATTGGAACGAGACACCAATTCACGAGCACAATTTTGGTCAAAAGCAGTAGTGACGATGGAATTTCTTCGTTTTGAGGGGCTTCCAAGGAGAGCAACAATCATTGCATTGCTCATGGTGTGATGAAAAACTGTAGATTCTGCAGTGGATGTGCCAAATGGTTGGTGGCTAAGTGAAGGGACTTTTTTCTCAATTTGTGTTTATCTCTTAAATTCTTCTTCCAACGAATCCCCGTCAGGCACATAAAACTCTAATCTCCTCCTCCGAGCAACAAGTAATAACTGGTTACTGGGAAGGACATGGAATGTTGAAAAACCAAACCGCGTGAGGAGTTTAGGAAAGTAAATGAATGGGAAAACCAAAAGTGTGGGCATCGACCCACAAAACGATATAGGTCTTTACAATATAAAGATGACAATAAGTTGATTTAGGTTGAAAGTTGCTCCTCCGTTGTGTTTCATCACTTGATAAAACGAATGAAGGATGGAGGAAGAAAGCCTCACATTACAAGAACCTTATCCAGGACTTGATACTCATATGTCCTTGTTAAATGTTCATTCCCCACCTCATGACCAATCGACGAGTCAGACACTTCCTCTCTTTTTGAACATTTTCCAATTCCAAAAAATGATCTCTTTTGTTTCTTGACCAATTTGACCCATTGATTCAAATGATAGGTCGCGATAGAAGATCAAGATGATCAAACATGAGAAGAGGTCAGGACTTCAAGATGCTCTTGATCTGTGAAGCTTTAAAATTGTGGTCCGACTCAGAGACCTCGAGGCTTTTATAATGTTCCGAAATTGGGTTCAAAAGTTTCAGAGAAAAAATTACCGAATACTAAACTTTGATCTCGCGTTGCCTGAACCTCATCATGGCTATCAATACTAACGTTGTATCTTCCTCGGAGGTGATTTTCAAGTCGCCTTCTTCTTCTTTCTTTCGAAAACCCGTGTTGATATTGGTCCTATTGTTTATTTTGTTTGTACATCATCAAACTCTGCTGGCTGCATCTAATTATCGATTTTTAGCAGAATTTAAAACTAAGAGCACGTCGTTTCAGTACATCAATGAGACTTTTGTAACGAACATTACAACATCATCAACCTTTGGTTATTCGGTGTGCAACTATGCAAATGAAAATGGAGTTTTCTCTTGGCAAATATTAATGGCGAATCCATTGCCTACCTATAATGTGAACACGACAGATCATATCATGTGGCTTCGGTATTTTCGATTCATTCACAACAATCTACAAACCATTTATGGAAATCAGCTGTTCTTATCCTCCATTGACAACATCACTCAAGCATTGAATACTCACAAATTAACAACAGGAGTCAATGGTTTGCAAGTTGATCCCTCAAAGATGATGTACTCTTTAGGTGGATCAACAAGTGGAAAAATTTCTAATGGAACTTTGTATTTTGACATACCGGAGCTTTTTGCATCTCAATATTCATTACAAATGTTTACTATCCAGTTGAATACTACATATTTGTATGATAATTCAAGCGGATATATACCCAGCTCAATGAATGACATGATTCCCGTAAATATGAGCTTATTGAAGGGAAGCAATCCATCCTACGGTTTACCTCTGTTGTCATATTTGGCGAACTACATCAAAGTTATTAATGTCTCAAACACCACACTTTTAAATTATTGTGGATCAACATCTCCTGTGGTGGCTTTCGCTTGGAATTCATGGAAGTTTTGGTTCACTCTTGTTGTGATTTTATTGATGCTTACAGCATTAACACTGAGTTTATTTAGACCTTATTATTGTGTATTGTTTGCTTTGGTGGTTCTCTACTTGTCTGGTGTGTTGAACTTTTCACAAGCTACCAGTGGTTTCAGCAATGAAGGTTTAATTTCCGAGACATGTAAGTACCTATTGTAATGATTGAGATTTAACAAGTGTTGCTTTTTTGACATACATACTGACAGTGCTCTTTGTGATCGTTTACCCAATTGGAAAGAATACTCTAACGAAGAAATTTATCAACTTTATGTTTGGCTCCCCAAAATACGGCTATTGGCTGTGTATTTTGCGAATTTGTATTGTGTGTTCGATCATGTCTGCATTTATCAATGACACGCCAATTGTGATTACAATGATTCCTCTCATTAAGAATTGGTAGGTAAATTTTCCTAATCACATGTAATTATTAACTTGGATACTTAAATAGGGCCAGAGAGAACAATATTCCACCTTCAAAATTCTTAATGCCCATGAACATTATTACCATTGCTGGAGGCTTAACAACATTGATTGGAACTTCGACAAACGTCATTGGAAATGGTTTATATGTTTCGTATGGATATCCTGCTCTGACATTTTATGAATTCTTTTATCTTGGTGGAATGTTGGTCGTTGTGACAACCATCTACCTTACCACACTTGGCTTGTGGTTATTGCCAAGTAAAAAGGGTGGTCTATTTCGTTTTGCAAGAGAAAGAGGAGAGCAATTTCTCTGCAAGTTAGAATTAAAGTCAAATTCGTCACTTCTCGGAAAGACCAAGAAGAAGGCTCTAGAATCGTTAGAATTCAAAAATCTTGACATTATTCAAATTATCAGAAAAAAGAAGATAATCACACCCAACCCAACAACCACAACTACAACAACAGAAGAAAACAAATCCTCAGAGGCTACAATTTCTCCTCAATCTATTCATCAAGAACCAGCAACACCCACAGCTATTGTCATTGAGGATGAGTATGAGAACATTGTTCCTGTTCCAGATGACTTTATGCTTATACTTGGAGATCAATTAATTTTTAAAGGACCACCAAACATTATTCTCCAATTACACTCAACAATGGGAATTGAAGAACAAGAAAACATCATTCAAACCATGCTAGGAACAGACACTATTGCAGAAGCGTTAAAAGACAGAGTTGGTGTACTAGAACATAACACGACTACTGGAGAAAAAGAGACTGCTCATGCTTCATCATCTGTTGAACTTCCTACAATTTCAGAGTCTCCTCAAGAAGAAATCATTCAAGAGGTTGAACCCTCTGCTGAAAACCCTCCAGCGTTGTTGGAAGACAAAATGGATGAAGCTCTTCCCTCACTCATTTACGCTCCAATTCCAAAGGCAACCTTAATTCAAAAAATTGAAGAACATGGGCTAAATGTTGAAAGGAAAAGTTCAGTTGAAAATGCAATTAATGAACAAGTAGAAGAAACAAAACAACAACAACAACAAGAAATCAAAAATGAAGAAAACAAGACTACCGAAGAAAACAAACCAGAAGAATCAAGCATTACTAAAGAGGAGCCAAAGAAAGAAAGTACAAAGAAGGAAAAATCAAAGAAAGAAGATAAGGAAGAACAAAAACACATTGATGAGAATCAAACAGAATTCTTTGAGGTTGTTGTGAGCTCATCTAATCCATGTTTAGGTCAAAAGTATAACTCATTCAAGCAAATGTATGGTGTTGCCATATTAGCTATTCGTCACAGAGAATGGATAGACACAAAAACAGATACTTCTGATCTTGAAAAATTGCATGTTAATACGGGTGACACATTATTATTGCTTGGTAAAAGCTCATTTTATGACAAGTATAGAGAAGCCAGAGATTTCTATGTCATTTCGAGATGTAATGTTGAAACAAGAGAAGAGGTGACTCAATTCAAAATCAAAATACCTTTTACAGGAAAGAAGATTAATTTGTGGTGGTGGGAACACTTGATTTTCCCAATTTTCTTTGCAATGATTGGGTGTGCCATCGCTGGATATCCCTTGGTAGAATGCACATTCGTTGCATTTATTGTAATTGTAGCTATTGGCTTAATTTCTCCTAATCAGGCTGTGGAATGCATTGAATGGCCAATCATTGTTTTGATAGGAGCATCTCTTGGAGTTGGAATAGCCATTACGAGTAGCGGTATTGGTGAAGGTTTGAACGCCTTATTGCAATTAATGCAAGTACCATCATGGCTACTTCCTGCATTCATTGTTTTCATAACCATCTTAGTCACTTCGGTGATTACGAACAATGCTGCCGTTTCTGTGTGTTTGCCTCTTGCAATTTCTGTGGCACAAGCCAATTCCTTAAATCCAAGATGTTTTGCCATTGCGGTCATTATGGCAGCAAGTACCACGTTTATTCTTCCAATCGGTTATCAGGTGAGTATTTATGTGATTGTTTTCATGAAATTGTCATTCTCAACATTCTCAAAATGAAAGTGTAACTTGTTAATCATGGGACCTGGTGGCTATTCCACATGGGACTTTATCAAGTGTGGATTCCCCATTACTGTCATCTATTTTCTCCTTGAAAGCATTCTCATACCATTAATTTGGGGACTTTACACTCCAAACTTTTAAATGCTCTATAGTTCAATAAAAACAGTTCGATTCCAACATTTTGGACTCGAACCACTCGTTCTAACACAAGAGATGATGACCACTCGACAGCATCCATGATGATGTCTCTTTAAAAAGTTGGTGCCCAAGGTTGAGACATTTCATCATAATTGGCTTGAACCATGTACTCATTCTCTCCCTTAGTGAAAACAGTCAACTTGAAAAGATCCTTATTTCTCTGACTAATGTACGACTCCAAACTGTGTTGAACATCGGCTTGAATGTTCGGATCGTTGAATTTGACTCCTGCCACAAGATGAAATTCTGAATGGTGCACTTCTTGGTAAAGAGAACCATTGAGGGAACACTCACTTTGGTGAGAGGTGCCAAAAAATCTCGAAACGTTTTCGAAAATGAATGTTGTTGAGTGACAAGTAAAAAGAAAAATGCGAAGCTTGGTGCGAGGATTTGGAGGAGGCAATAAGAAACCTTTCTCATCATCATCATCACCGATGACCAATGACCATCAAAAGACGGGAAAGGGCAGTCCTTCCCGAACAACAGGATTTAATTTATTTAAAAAGAGAAATACAAAGAACCATCATGGATCATCATCGAGTATTAATTTATTAGCAGAGGCTTCTTCTTCGCCGCCAGCTGCTGGATCACCATCGGCCACGAGTTTACCGGAAAAGAAGGACCTATTGGGAAGTAGGATCAGTTCAACATCCACTTCTTTGGCCTCAACAACAACCACCTCATCATTCAGTACAGTGGTGTCTTCAAAAACTGAACGAAGATTATCGGATATGAATGTAGAGGAAATTGACGAAGACGAGGATTTGAATAAATTGGATAGAAATACTACTTTCAAACTCACAGATGATTCATTGTTACTTCCGAGTTTGAGTGAAGGAGTAGAATATGACGAAAATTATTTGTTGCATCGTGGGTTTTTAGTGAAAGAAGGAGCCAATGTGCATAGCTGGAAGGTAAATTTGTTGTGACATTTTGAATTCATCGTTTTGAATGTTATTGTTAAAATTTACAATTATATCATTACAATTATTGAATTTCACCCAGAAACGATATTTTAAATTATTCACCACAAGATTAGAGTATTACAAATCTGAAAATGACTCGAAACCTATTAATCAAATTCCAATTACATCATCCACACAAGTGGGAGAAGCTCCAGAGAAGCATCTTCAAAAAAAACATACTTTCAAAATTATTAACCAAGATAGAGTGTTGTTCGTGAGTGCAGCAAACAGAGATCAGATGCTTGATTGGATTAAAAGAATTAAACAAGCTGTAGCTTCCTCGCATTTGGTAAATTCAAAATCAAATCAAAGAAAGCAAACCAATGCAAATTACAAAGATTACCTTTTATCAACATTTTCAGAAAAGAGAAAAGGAAGATTACGGTCCCATAATGCTCTATCAACTATGCCATTTGATCAACTTTCTTCGACATTTTCTCTCAATGAAAAAGAAAAAAAGAAAACAATTGAGTCATTCTGCAAAACATTTTTTGAAAGCGGAAGAGAAATTGACATCGTTGGAGGATCCTTTAAAAACAATTTTGCTAAATATTATTCAACACTAAGAAAACTATTGAGCTCTTCAGCATTTCCGATTGAAACATTTGAATATGTGTTGACAGGGCTATGCCAATATGAAAAACCACAGCCATTTATTGGAGGTTTTCCAATATATCTAAAAGGTTCATTTTATATCATTGTGAGCCCTTCAAATGATATCAAATGGATTGGCTTCCACAGCATGATCCTCAACAACAGCACTGTGATATTATTTTCGCTTGGAGATGTAGATAGAGTATTTTTCAGAGCCTCTCAACATGGTAAAGAGGAAAGCTATCACTTGTCTTTTGAATTTAATTCTTTACAACGTGTACAGCGAAGGACGAACATATTTTCAAGCTCTAATAGTTCGATCAACAGGTTAGATTTTCGATTTTCAGATAGGCATATTTGGAGCTATATAGTGTTTGAGTTGGCCAGGTATAAATTCTTTCCTGTTGTTGAGGGTGACACTGTGGATGCTGTCGACGAAGAATTATCGACTCCTGTCACTCCATTGGACCGATCCAGAGATAAATCAGTGGCTTCATTGGTACCACAATTACAAGAACCATTTCCTAAACAACATCAGCAAGAGCCAACAGATATGAGGATTGAAAATTCTTCTTCAACTCCACTACAAGGATCGTCAGCTGCTTTTGAAAGTGATGAGGATCAGGACGAAGACAAGTCAGAGAGTATCCACGAGACAGAGTCACGAAAGGAGAACTCAACGGAATCAGCTCATGTAGAAGATGAAGATGAACCTCTCACAGAAAAAGATGAATCTGAAAATGTTGATAATGATCTTACCAATATTGAAACGTTAACAGAAAAGATTCCTCCAGCGAGTGAAATTACCTTTCCTAAAAAAAAGAAGAAAAAGGAGAATCATTATGTAGATGTTCATCACCATATTCGGCAATTAGAAGAATATGCCCAAGATGAATTTATTTCTCTCTTCTCTAATTTATATTACAATCAATTCAGTGAATTGAACAAGACCATGACACAGGGTCAAATTGTTTTTGCCGATGAACGAGTAGTTGACAAAATTTTTTCCACTTACCTCAGAGAAAAGGATCCTCTTATGACCTCTTCTGGAATGTTCTATCTCACTAATAATTTTTTATGGTTTGACTCGATAGACATGCAATCTCATGGACCTCGGCCCTATCAATGGATGATTCATTTGGGTGACATTTTTTCAATTCAAGTGAATATTTCTCTTTTTGTTGTACGAATCACTCTCGGAAAAAGCCATAATTTGTATATTTCTCTAGATGGAGAGTATGATTTTGGATCATTTAAAGCTGATATTGGATTTAACGATTTGATAACGCTAGATATTAACAATATCATAAGTTTGAGAGAAAAAAGATTTCTGTCATCCTTGCGAATTGTTTATTGTCTCGTGAAAAAGATTCAATTTGCATACAATTTGGATCGACAAGTATTCCATTATGATGAACATTTGGGATCAATTCTTAGAAATGAAGATGAAGATGACCATAACTTGACAAGTGAAGCAAGCAATTCGAATAGCGACTCTTCGGTAGAACTTGCAATTCTCAATATTGGAAGTGTGAGGGAATCCATGATTAATAACTATTTTGAACAACATCAATCCAATTCCAAAGAAGCAACTCCCACCACTCTCAATAATACTGATACTGATTTCGATGATACCACCAATGATGCAGTGAATGATGACAATAATGATGAATACTTTGATTTACAAACATTTGAAGTTGAACTTGTGCGAAAGTTTAAGAACAAAAAGGTCAAGGTATGTCATGGTTTTATTCTTTTGTAGTTCATGAATTTTTACTCTAAATTTTGACCCAAATGGATTCCTTGTATTGGTTTTAATGATTTTTTAACATTTTACTATTTCAGGTGATTGCAAAGCAAAATGTTGTGGATGATTCAAAAATTATTGAAATCAAAGATGTCAACAAGGACAAGACCATCACAGAGATACCCATCAATGAAAACACCAATGTTGCTCTCTCAGGTAAAAACGTGTTCTCATTGTCCTTTCAATCCAAAAAGAAAAAGAAAACAGAGGTTATGAAATTTGAATGCAAAACGATTGATGCATCTTTTGTTGTAAATTATTTCTCTGATTTTTTGTTATCAGGAAGTGTAGATTAGATATATTCCCTTTTAATTTATTGATGCTATGAGCTTACAAGATATATTTATAAACATTGTTGTACAGGAATTTCATTCTTTTCATTGGACTCACAACCATGAGATGTGTGACACATAATGTTCAGTGTTTGTTTATTGAATGGTCGTATCTTGTCGAGTTGTTGATGTTGAGGTGTAATATTTGTTGCTGTTGGATTGGTTAAGCAGGGATGATGCTTCGTTGGTAGTAGTGGTTTGATTCGAATCGTCCTGATCTTGGCTTGTGCTGCCATTAGGTCCTTCAATAATTGCCTTCTCCAAATCCTTTTCTGATCGACTGCTGGTGGCAATTTTCTTTGCTCCTTTCCTTAATTGTTGCCATGAAGGGAACGAGACGACAGCAATTCCTGCAAAAATCAAAATCATTCCAATCACTTCAATAATTGGAATATAGAACGGAATATTATTCCATTCTCCCAACAAGACTGCACCTTCCACGACACCAAAGATTGGTAACAAATATCCAACCATTGATTGTTTCACACTGCCCACCGTTTTGATTAAATAAAAATAGCAAACATAGGCAACACCTGTAGAAAAAACTCCCAAGTAGACGACAGAGATCCAAGCAAGATAGTTGGCATGTTTGAAGTAACTCAAATGTCTTGAATCAATTCCCAAATCGTAGATTAATACTCCTAAAAGAGCAAATAGAGCAGCAGAAATGATTTGACCACATGCCACAAATTGTCCTGGAACGTCATTCAAGTACTTTTTAGCAAAGACTGATGCAATACCATATGAGGCAGCCTTAATGTTGTGATGGTGAATAATATTCAAATAATGATGCGAAATTAATGGTTTAAAAACATTCAGTTCCCATGTGTTGATTATTAAATGTTCAATTCAATGATAATAATATCATTTTGAAAATGCATCACGTGGCATGACGAGAGTATTGGAATCATTTTCATCATTTTCATCAATTTTAAAAATTTTTAACAAATTTCACACAATCCTCAACTTGGTTCCATAAACAAAAATTTTCACTTACAGCAAGTGTCACTCCTACATAACCCAAGATTTGATCCGTACTTGGTTTCTCACCCACAATGACATTTTCCAAACACACCAAAATCACACCAGCAAATCCAACAATCAATCCAATTAATTTCATGATTGTAATTCGTTCTCCTTTTAAAGTAAAATGTGCAATAAAAATACTAAACAAAGGAATACTACTGTCCAAAATAGAGGCAATTCCTGAATTGATTGATTCTTCAGCAAATGCAACTAAAATAAACGGCACTGCATTGTTAAAAAATCCAAGAATCATCATGTAAATGATGGTTCGAATTCCTCGATGTTTGTTGACTTGTTTTCGTAATTCCTTGTTTCGAATTAAATTCACAATTAAGAGAATGACCATAAAAATTCCACCAATGACGAGTCTCATAAATACGACTGAGAAGGAACTGAAACCAAATTTTGGATCCACCGATAATTTAATGACTGAGTTGTGTGTGAGATGGTGTGAGATTAAGATTCAACGAATCAATTATGGAAATATATAACAACGTTTAAAATAAAATTTTTCACTCATCAATACTTACATGAAACTATAGTGTTATTCATGCAAACCAATCATGTGTGTGACATAAAAGTTTCATGTTTGATTGTGAAGTTTTTCAAAATTTTTCAAATATGGTAAAATGATCATTACAACTTACATGCAGAACCCCAAATAGCACCCAATATGAAAAACACAATAACGCTCCAAATGGTGCAACTCAAATCTCCTTCCTTCTTTCCTCCATTAGTTGCTTTATATTCTCCAATTTCCTTTTTTAGCAATTCCTCATTCTTGTGGTGATCACCATCATCATCATGATGAATGGTCTCTCTTTCTTCGGAGGAGGCAATGAAAGGATTATTTTCACTAGTCGTATATGTGTTCATGACGAGTGTTAGAATGAGTTTGTTTCTTCTACTTTGAGATTAATAATTTTAAATAATAACGATGATGAAAAGTTAAACAATTCAATCACAACCACCACAAAAAATGTTGTACTCTCTGAGTTGTTGTTGTTGTTGTTATTATTGTGGTTGAAACTCCGTAATGTGAGAATTTATAAGTTTTTCACACACTTTTCACGCACGCCAGTAGTAATAGTGGTAGTGGTGGTGACTCGGAGAAGTGATTGTAATTTTTGTGTGTTTAGAGCGACAAGGAAATCTCAGAAAATCTCTCACAAAGTCCGTCCATCAGCAAAGCACTTGAAAGTTTTTCCGAAAATACTTTTTTGAATTTCAATAAAAAATGAGAACAAACAATCGATCTGAAGCTTCTTCATCATCATCATCGGAAAGTGAACAGGAAGAAATGACAAGAACGGAATCCACAAGAATCAGTGATTCATCATCATCAGGAAATCATACAACAACAACACAAAATAATTTGGAAATTGGTAAAGAATTGAAATTAACTCGAATTATTTTTGTCAAGGGGTTACCCTCGCATGTAACGAACTCGCAATTCAAAAAGTTATTTGAGGAGTATGGACAGGTAACCGATGCAAAGATTATGATGGCAAAGAATGGAAAGAGTCGAGGATTTGGATATGTCGGATATAAGAGGCATGAAGAGGCTTTGAATGCATTGCAAGAAAGAAATCAGACGTTTGTCGGGATGGCTAAAATTACGGTTGAATTTGCATTACCTTATAAAGATTCCAGATTGGAACCACCAAAGAGTAAAACTTCAAAAGCTGCTCTTGCCGTCAAGCAAGCATCTTCGAATAGCTCAGCAAACAAAAGTTCTTCTAATGAAGAAGAGGTCGATGAGTTTTTGGGAATTGGAAAGAAAAAATCATCAGGTCCAAAGTTTTGGGAAAATGATTTAGAGGACGAATTTGATGAAGAAATACAGAAGGATAAAAAAAAGGCAGAAGATGAAATGGCTGACGGTTCAAAGCACACTACTACTGATGACGACACAAAAGAATCAGCTACCAAGAAGAAGAAACGAGAAAATGAAACAAGCAAACAATCTGACAATGCGATGTTCGAAAACGATGATAATAACCTGTTATATTTCAATGAAAACGAGGAGGAAGATCCTGGAAGACTCTTTGTGTACAATCTTCACTTTACAACCACAGAAGACGAATTGAAAGAATTATTTGAGCCATTTGGAGAAATTTCTGAAATTCACATTCCAATAGACAATGAAACTAAGCGGTCAAAGGGTGTTGCTTTTGTCCATTTCTTAATTCCAGAACATGCTGACAAGGCTATGAACACTCTCCATAATTCCATCTTTCAAGGTAGAATGATTCACGTCACAAAAGCAAAAGAGAAGCCAAATTTCAATGTGGAAAAGGAAAATATGTTCCTGGGCAAGTCGAAATACAAGAGAGAACAAATGAAAAAGCTGAGAGAACAAGCCGGCTCGTCACACAACTGGAATGCCACATATATGAGTGCGAACACTGTCATGGAGAGCATGAGCAAACAACTTGGAATTTCTAAGAGCGAATTACTACTGAATAATCGGGATTTTTCGAATGTGGATGACAATGCAGCTGTTAGAATGGCTCTCGCAGAAACAGAGTTGATCAAACAAACAAAGGAAGAACTTCAAGACCATGGAATTAATCTGGATTTATTGAACAAGCCTGCTGGACAAGTGAAGCTCTCTAGAACGGTAATTTTGGTGAAAAATATTCCTTTTCATGAGAATACAGAAAAGTTAAAACAAGAACTGCATGATTTGTTTGGATTCAAGAGTAGAAGAATTTCCAGAATCATTATTCCTGCATCCAAAACAATTGCACTGATTGAATTTTACGAACCTGTCGAAGCAAGACAAGCATTTACTCACTTGGCCTACAAGAATTTTTATAATGTTCCACTTTATCTCCAATGGGCACCTGAAGGTGTTCTGCCTCCAAAGAAAGAAGAAAAGAAAGAAGAGCCAAAGAAAGAGGATAAAGGCCCAGTTCGTGTGGCAGACGAAGGCGACGACAATCAAGAAAGCACTGTATTATTTATTAAGAACTTGAACTTTAAAACAACGGAAGAGAGTCTGAAAGAATTATTTAAGATTTACAAACCGCGATCTGTTCGTATTGTGACTGAAAATGGTAAAAGTAAGGGTTTCGGCTTTGCAGAGTTTGGCAGCGTGAAGGATGCGGTCAAAGCTCACGACGAATTACATGGCGTTGAATTGGATAATCACATCTTGGTCGTTCACTATTCCAATATTCAATCCAATGTGAAAACCACAACAGAACCAAAACTTAAAAAACAAGACATCTCGTTCAAAGATGAAGAAAAGGGCGTGACAGTGACCTTCAAAAAGTTAGTCGTGCGAAACGTCGCCTTCGAAGCTACTCGACAAGATTTATATCAGCTATTCAGCACCTATGGACAAGTGAAAACTATTCGTTTACCAAAGAAAGTTGGATCCAACTCACATCGTGGTTTTGCCTTTGTAGAATTTGTATCTCCAAAAGAATGTCATCAAGCTTATCAAGCCCTTAAACACAGTCACTTGTATGGTAGAACGTTGAAACTCGAATTCAGTGAGGATGTCAACATGGAGAATATTCGTGACGTTCAGGAACGAAACCGAGAAGAATATTTAGAAAAAGAAACAAAGAAAAGCAAATCTAGCTCAGGAAAACGAAAACGAGATGCCTTTTTGTAGTGTGGTATTGACATAATAATAATTTCTCCCGCCTTTTATTGTTTACAATAACTTCCCTAACGAACGAAAATTTTTCAAATCCATCCTTCCCTTCTCTCTCTCTCTTCATATTTGTTTTAATATGAATACGATAAAATGTCAGCATCTCAATATTTGAAAGGTACCATTGCTCCGATTCTCTCGCGAGGTATTGCTGAATGTATAGAGGTACAACCACAAGATCCCATTGAATATTTGGGTCTATGGATGTTGCATCATCAACAACAAGAAGCACTCCGAGAGAAGAGATTGAAACAAGAAGAAGAAAATCAACGAGCGATGGAGGAATGGATGGAAACGAAAGGAAAGTTGTTGCAAAAAGCAGTGGAAAGAATTCAAAATGTGGTTCGGGATTTCATTCGTAGGCAAAGAGCTTTCAAAGCGGAGGAACAACAAAAAGTTAAGCAATTAGAAAAATTGTGGGGTGATTTGATGATCAAAGCACAACAAGATCAGAAGCAAGCGGAAGCAAAGGAACAGGAAGAAGCATTGAACGAAAAGGAGAGAATCATGCATGAGAAGATGTTTGAGGCCTCCAAGGAGTTTATCACAAAGCTTGAAAAAGACAGAATTACCTATCTCAAGAAGGCATTTAGACCCCCTCAATGCGTTCCTAGAATTATGAAAGCCGTGTTGTTGGCGCTCGGAGTGGCACCGAAGGAATTAAAAGACTGGAACATGACAAAGGAAAAAATTGGTGCTCCAACGTCATTCGTTAGAAAATTGGTGGCTTTTGAGCCCGAGTCATCCATAGGAAAAACAGCAAGATTTAAACGAGTGAGCAATATTTTGAAAAAGTGGGATATTGAAGTGGTGAAACAACAATCCACCGTTGCATTCCTTTTATATCAATGGTTGACAAATTTATTAGCTTTTAGAGAAAGCTTTATTTCCATTAAAAAAGCAAAGAAAGAAGAAATTGAGGAAGAGGAAGATCCAGGTATTTTGGATGACATGGAAGATGACGAAAAGGATGATCCAAAAGAAATTCCAATGACCTCTGAAGAAACAAAACAGGAAACAAGCGAAGAACGAGCTGAAGATGACGAAGAATAAAGTCTCAAGATTGATTTTTACATAATTTAATCGGTGATCGTTTTTAATTCAACTGTACAGGTCTGGTTGTCTCTGGTTTTTTACAACATCTTTTGTGTGGGAACCAATAGTTCCTCATTGATTTTCTGCTGCATGTATTGATTGAGAAGGTCCCGAAGCTCATTGTTCTGCTTTCGAATCATTTCTGTTTCAGTGATTAACTTCTCTCGTTTTGCAAGAATTTCTCCATATTTTTCTAAACCTCTTTCAAGAGCTCCCCAGACCTTATACCTCGATTCTGGAATAATTTGTGCCATTCTTTTCCAAAACTCTCTTTCTTCTTTTCGTTTTCTGTCCTTCGCTTTTTCGACGGTGCTTAATACCTTCTTCTTTCTACCACTTTCGTTTTGCTCCATCATGGCCTTCTTATTTTGCTCCTCAACAAATTTTCTCAAGATCTTGATCAAGAGCTCTGTGGAGATGTCATGAAGATCCTCTATGCTTCCTTTTTCTTCTTCAATACATTGGATAAAAAAGTTAATCATCTTAGTAGTTTCTTCAGGAGTATCGATTCCTATGACTCGCAAAATGTTATCAACTTTCAACACCTTTGACTCTTCAGGAGGTAATTTTTGCAACAATTTTTCAACCTTCTCCTCAACTAAAAACCCTGCACTGTCACAAAGGGTCTCGAAAATTAATCGAACAGTCTCTCCAGCGGGAGTCATGGTGTTATTTGTTGCTGTGTCTTTGGAAGACTCACTCACAGATTCCGAAAATGAGGACTCCAAGTTGACTGACGTCTCTTGAATAGTAGTTGTATAGTCTTGAGTTTTTTCTGGAATGCTTTTGATATCTTCCTCTGGTGGTATCCACCTGAGGCCAAGCTGTTGTGTGGTGATAATCTCGTCAGCCTTCTTTAATTTTTCAGCCAAATCCTCCACAATTTCCTGATTCATTTTCCAAATATCTTTATACTTCTTGGTGTCTGCTTCTTCAAAATATTTAAATTTTTGTAGTAAATCCTTGTATTGAATGCTCAGCCTCTTAAATTGTTCGGTCGTCTCATTGTTTTCTGCCTTATATTTGTTGTCGTCGCGAATGTATTTTGCCTTGATTCCACTCAACTGATCTTGTAATTTGGCCAAGAGAGCTCGATTGTTTCGGACTGCAGTTTTGTTGTCCTCCACTCTGTCCACCAGTACTTCAAAGTAATATTCCAATTTTTGGGCCATGAGTTGGTATTCTCCTCTAATTGAGTCAATTTCTTGCTCGTATTCATGAATTTCATCAAGGAGTTCCTTTTTTTTCTTGGCATACTTTTCCATCTCTTGATCTGCCAGCACTTTGAGCTGTTGTTCATATTCGTCGACCTTTTGTATTCTACTTAGAGCATAGTTCTCTTCTTTTTTACTTCGTTCTTCTGCAATTGCCTGAAATTCCTCCAAATTTCGTTTAATCAGTTCTTTTCTCTCTTTTTCGAAAGATGTTTCGATTCTGGACAACTCTAACGTGTACAAGTCGATGAGTTCTTTCACCTGAGCATTCATTCTTTCAATCAGAGTATCTAAATCTTTGGTCTGTTTCTTTAAGGCCTTCACATACTCTTCATCTCTCTGTTTGAGTTCTTGGCCAAGCTCTTTAATGAGAGCTTGTTTACTCTCAATCACCTTTAAACACATTTCTTGTTGTTCTAAAAGCTTGTCCATTAATTCTTGATGAGTTTTCTTGTCATACAAAGAAGGCCATTTCATTTGGATTGCTGCATTCTTTTTCGAGCTCACAATAGCCTCACTTTTCAATTTTTGTTGTATTTCCTCTTTCTTGACGTCATACTTGAGTCGTCTCTTATTCTCTTCCATGTCGCTTTCTACTTTCACATTGGTGACAAGTTTTGTTCCCTCTCGAATTTTAGATTTAATAACTCCAACTGATTCGTCAATCTGAGTTCGTGAATCTTGAATGATTGTTTGTACTTCGACTTGTTGAGTTGCTTGTACATTGTTTGTTGTCGCAGCATCTTTTCCGCTCGGTGAGCCCACTATTGGACTCTCATTCCCGTCCTGATTGCTCATCAACGATGTGTTGTTATTGTTGTGTTCTTCTCCTTCAACCCCGTTCTCACCACCCTGTTGTTCCTTAGTATTGATATCAGTGGCTACGGGCATCGAAGATCCCTCTTCTCCGATAGCAGTTACACGCTGCTCTTCACCCGACAACATATTTGAAGAGGATGATGAGGAAGGCATTAATCGCTCTCCATTCATTAGTTCAGTCATTTTTTTTAATATTTGGTGGTTGTACAAAAAAAGGCGGGAAATGTTTCTTGAGGTTTTCGAAACCAAAGGATTTGATTCGAGACAACATCGACAGAACTTGAAAATCAAAGTTAAAAAAATTTCCTCGTTTAGTTACACAGAATACATCAGTACACGTAGGAAATTAAATATAATACTAACTCTTTAATGTTGCTTGGCAATAGCTTCCAAAATGGCCTTAGTCAACTCATAAGTATGAGAAACATCAGCAATTCTGACCTTTTCATCTGGAGAGTGAGCCCCAACAATGGTTGGTCCATAGGAAATCATGTGCATGTTTGGATAAGTTTCCAAGAGCAATCCGCTGTTTGGTTATTGTTGGTACATGCAAATCAAAGATTCGTGAATCGTGGTCATTTGACATAAATGTCACATCATCATTGTATACAACATGAAACTTACCATTCCAAACCAGCATGAATAGCCTTAATCTCTGGTGTTGAGCCATACTTTTGAGTATAGACGTCTTTACAGAGTTTGAGAAGAGGCGAGTCCATATTTGGTTGCCATCCAACATAACCATCTCCATGTTTAACTTCAGCTCCAGAAAGTCTGAAAACAGAACCAACTGCAGTAGCAGCATAAACCTTGGCAGATTCAACACTGGATCTTTGTGAGGTGCAGAATTCAATCTTACCATCACGTGTAGTAATGATGGCCAAATTGGTTGATGTCTCAACAAGACCTTCAATAACAGGACTCATTTGAATGACGCCATGAGGACAAGCAAAAATAACGCTAATCAACTTGTTCAACAATTCAGAGGTAATGACCTTGGTTGAGGTAGTTGGAGTTTCAACTGGTTGAACAGAAATCTTCAATCCAGGTTCGACAACACTGTATTCACCATAGGCGAGCTTTTCAAAGGAGGCAACTCTTTGCTTGACAGCCTCTAATTTATCCTTTCTAACATAGGCATTAACCCAAGCTTCTCTTGGAATTGCATTTCTCTTGGAACCTATCGAATATTTCAATATTTTTCAACCATACATCAAATCGCACAAATGAATCACATACCTGCTTCAATGTAGTAAACCTTAACATTCTCGGGTGTGACATCATCCAACACATATTTTAATGTTCTTCCCAATAATTTAATTGCATTTCCACGACCAGTGTGAATGTCAATACCAGAGTGACCTCCTTTCAAACCACCAACCATGATCGATACTTGCTCATATTCCGATGGATTTGTCAACTCCTCTTCCACAACTTTGAATGTAGCAACAGTATCCATACCACCAGCACATCCTGTTGAAATTGAGAGAAACAAGAAGAGCATTGCCGAGCATTTCACACAAACATGACATCCATTAAAGAAAATCATTCAAAATAAAAACCGCATGAGATCGATACATACCAACATAGAAAGCACCAAGCTCCTCAGCATCCAAATTTAACAAATATTTGGCAGTGCAAAAGTCAGGAGTCAATGCCATGACACCTGTCATGCCAGTTTCTTCGTCAATGGTCAACAACAATTCCATTGGACCGTGAATTGTGTCCTTATCAGCAGCAAGAGCCAATCCTGTACAAACACCAATACCATTATCGCTTCCGAGAGTAGTTCCATTAGCTTCGATCCATTCTCCATCTTCAGTACGAAGGAGAGTGATTGGGTCATTATCAAAATCGTGTTGGGTTGTTTTCTGAACAATGTTCAAAATTTTACAGTATGAATTACATCGATTATATTTCATGAGCATGATGAGAATCCCAAGAAGTATCATGACAATGAATGCTGCATGAGAATCCCAAGTGTCATTCATGTAATAAAACTTACATTTTTCTGGAAAGGATATCATCAACAAGAAGATCATTGCATCCAACCAATATAAATGAAGCGATAAATTCAAGTTCAATGTAATTAATTGATGGTAGTGTTAAATTCATAAATGTTATCACCATTATGATAAAAGAGAACGGCACCACATTATCGCCATCACCATCGGAATCCCTGAATCATCAAGACAACCTACCTCACAGACCATATCAATATGTCCTTGAATAGCAACAGTTGGAGCATTCTCATATCCAGGAGTAGCTTGTACTTTAATCAAACAGTTTCCAACTTTATCCACCTTGATTTCAAAGTTATTCTCCTTGGCATATTCCTTCAAGAATTCAATGGCCTTTTGTTTCCTTCTTTGAAGGACGTGGGCATTGAGAGAGTCTAACAAAATAATTCCAAACTGGAGCTGGATTCAAGCCTTTGATGGCGTCCAGGCTTTTCTGAAGAGAGGATGAGTTCGTCATGATGAAGATTTTTTAAATTCAAAAAAACAAAATCCGATCGGCCTCCAAGTAGATGATCATCATTTACCTACTTGTCATTCGATCAGCAAGAATATTCTCGCTCCCTTCACTGGCAAATCGATGAGGGATCGTGATCGAATGAGAAAGATCCGATAAGGAAGTAAGGAGTTCAATCACTTGTTGGACCCGAGTGGTATGAGGAAAATCATGAAGCAGCGCGCTGAGAAAAAATGTATGTAGAAGCACCAAGAGTGCACAATTACGAAGACTCTGTGCTTCAACAACTGTTTCATCCACAAAGACGAGTGTTGATATTGGATGGAGCCATCGCAACAGAATTAAACAAGAGAGGATTCCATCTGACTCCATCGTTGTGGTGTGCACATTTATTAAAAGAGAATCCAAAAGCCATACAAGACGTGCATGATTCCTATTTGCACGAAGGAGGATGTGATATTTGCACCACAGCAAGCTATCAAGTTTCAAAGGAAGGATTTGAAAGATATGAAAGATTGATTGCGGATCAGAATAATGATGATCATCACCAGGACGAACCAGAAACACATCATTCTCCACAAACGAAAAAACACAGTGAGGAAATTGTGAATCAAGCACTACGACAATCGATTCGAATGGCAAAAGAAGCCGTCCAACACTACGAAAATAATAAGGCAACACAAGTTGATATCAATACCACTTTTGGGAAGAAATTCGTGGCTGCAAGTTTGAGCTGTTTTGGAGCTTCAATTTCAGACATTACTGGCATTGCGAAAGAATATTATGGAGATTATTTGGATGACGATGTGGATGAAAATAGAGAGCATTATGTACATGCAGTCATTAAAGAATTGAGTGACGAATTGTACAAAATTGATCAATCACCACACAAGGGTGGTATCGAACAAGTCATCTATGAATTTCATCTTCCAAGGGTGAGAGAATTATTGAGAGAAGAGCCTGATTTTCTACTTTTGGAAACCATGCCAGTATTGAGAGAGGTGAAAATTTTGTGTGAACGAGTCATTCCTGATGCCTTAAAAGAATTGAAAACAAACAACCAATTACCACAGACAAGAAAACAAATGATACTGATATCGTTCCAATGTAAAGATGGTGAACATACAGGTCACGGAGAGCCAATAATTTCATGTGCCAAGTTTGTAAATGAGATGAATTCACAAATAACCATGTCACATGGAGATTATCAAATTGTTGGAATGGGAGTAAATTGTGTGTCACCATCCATTACACCATCACTGCTCGATAATATTGACTCTGCCCTCAATTCAGACGTGGCAATTATTGTTTATCCTAATAGTGGTGAGATTTGGGATTGTTCACAACAGACTTGGCTACCTCCCAGCAAGGAAAATGAATGGGACTACGAGAAAGATTTCATTCCCTTCATTAAAGCTTGGAGGGATCAGCATCCTCACAGACGTCTAATTGTAGGTGGTTGTTGTAGAACTGGTCCAAATCACATTTGTAAGCTTTCCAAGGTATTGCTCTAGGAATGACACAAAAATCATGATGATGATAGCATATGTGGAATGCATTGAAAATTTCATTTAGGATTGTATCGAATTAGTCGTGATATATTAAATGCTGTGGTATTATGATGATGAAAAGGCTATCTAATGATCGGATGCAATCATCATCAATTAAATAAATATATTCAATATCATCGGGTTGCATACTTTATGATTATTTCTTACGCATATGTTCCTTTCGGGTTGCATCCTGTAAAGCTTCCGTATCGACATCTGCTACTGGAAGTTGAATATAACGCACCGTACTTCCTCTAATAAAACAATTCTTTATGCAACACAAGTACGGATACTTTTCCTTGTCCTCCACTTGTACATTATTCAATTTTACATTCAAATATTGATCCACACTATGCAACGTTCCTCGGAGCGATACATCATTCTTCAATTCAACAATGACTTCCTTGTCGACGAGTGTTTTGAAGAAGCTGTAAAAGAGCATTTTTTTAATATCGCTTTGTTTATTTATATTGAATAAACATTCTCAATATTGAAACGACGTGACATATCTGAGGTTAAGAATGTTAACCAATCCAACAATTAATTGTAATTTGAAGATAATTTTGTTTCCACTTTTATTTTGGAAATTTAGCTGACTTGAATGAACTTGATCACACGCAATGACAAAACACTTGTTTGCTCAATAGGTCATACATTCTTTGAAAGGACGGAGAAATAAACGATTCACCAGAGCTCACGGAAGGTCCTTTGTAACTAGTTTTCACAGAAAATCGTTTCGGTTGAGTCTGAATGATACTAATCTCAAACGCTTCTCTCGTGTCTTGATCTAAATATCCCTTAATAGTTGCCATGAGTTGATCTTTACTCTTGACCGTAATAAATTCTTTCTGTTTTAACAATGTTTCGTAGATAGAGGTCAATACGGCACCTGCGGTTGCAAAACCTTTGGTCACAGTTTGATACATGTCTCTTTGAACAGTAATCGAACTCACCATGGAGGATGCTGAGCTCGATGCTTGAAGAATGGCCGCTGAGGAGGATATTCTTGAAGAATGTTCTTGAAATTTCCAACAAATTCCCCATCGTGACGTTTTTCCTTGAACAAATTCTGTGGTGTGAAAAATAATCTGGAGCTGATGTTGATTGTGGTTGTCCTCATCATCATTGTGGGAAGTTAAGAGTTTCATTTCACCTGCATTCAATTGTGCAATGTATTCTCTCAGTGGTTGTAAAGTCTTCTTCTTTCCCAACATGGAACTGAACCAACAATGTTCAAAGATGGACATGGATCTTTTGTGAGTCATTAAGAACACACTGTCCTCAATCATTCGTTTCACAAAAGTTTCTTCACCTCCCACAGTGACCATCTCATTGGAATTTCCTCGACAATCATTCTTGGGATTTCTATTCACAGGTTCATTTTGATCAAAAAAAGGTGGATTACACATGGTGAAATCAACTCGTGTCAAAGGTTGTAACCAAGAGGAGGGTTTTTGTTGAGGCATGGATTCAATATTCGAGAGAATGTTTTTCAAAATATCTTGACTCGATTCATCGACATGTACCAAATAGATCGATTCTTGGAAAGACTCACTGTTTTTCATAATATTTTCTTTTGCAATCATCAAACTTTCTTCTGAAATGTCGGTAGCAATAAATTTCCATTGATACATTTTGTGACCAAGAAGAGGATAAATACAACTTGCTCCAGTTCCAACATCAATTCCAACAATGGGTCCATTGGTTGCATTGGCAGTGTCATTGGATTTTTCAAGCTCTAATAAATCGTTCAACCAATGAATGTAATTTGCTCGATTGGTCACAGGAGGACACAAATGATCTAATGGTAAGCTCCACTCAATATTGAAATCATGCTTTAATAGAACTTTGGTTAGATTCATGACAGATTCTGCATTTTTCCAATCGATCGATCCTTGTTCATTCACACTGTTTCGAATGAGTATTTAAATTAATTTGGAAATGAATATTGTAATATATGTTACAATTAAATTTAATAATAATATTGTCATATATATGACAATATTAGATTTATATTACTATTAATTTTTTATATTATAAATCACATGTACTTACTATTGCGCAAAGAATGGATACTGTTTTGCTAATTGTAAAAAATCAGGACTCGAATTGAGCATGTATTTGGAATTCCGATGTCGATTTAGCATGGCATGTGAAGGTTTTTGAATTTTGTTCTGGTAAGGACCAACAACCGATTGTTTTTGATTCTTTGTTTTTCTTGGCACCAATCGAACGGCTTCTTCTTCCTCTTCGTTCTGGTCTTTAAGTTGATCACATGATGGATTCATTATTTTTTTATTTATTTTTTAATAAATTAATTTTCAATATTCGTTTCCATTAAGCAGCTGTAGCAAACCACATTCATCACGGTGATTGATTGAACATGTTTGTATCCAAAGTGGTCATTCACCTTGGACCGAATTGTCACAACGTATTTTCCTCTTCAGAGTTGTGCCAGTTATATGAAATCGTTCAAGCATGAAAAGATTTTGATTTTAGGAATATTGTCCAAAACTTGTTACTGAACATTATTAGATGGTTCTTGGGATTCAATTTCTGCGAGTGTTTTCTTGACCAAATCTAATGCTTCCATGTATTTAGCCACACACCGATTTTCACAAATCGACTCTCCTGAATGAATATCATTGTGTTTGAATTCAAGACCAATACAGTCCTTGAAACATTGTTTGACCATACTAATGTTTTGAGAGTGTGGATCATCCAATATTATTTCATCCAATAATTTTTAATTTAAATAGATAAATAGGAATATATTTAAAATAATATGAAGGATTGCCAAAGATAATTCCGATGCCATAATTCCAATGTTCATCACCACCATCATCGTGATTTGTAAAAATACTCACTGACTATAGTTATCTTTAAGCGTGTAGGCTTCCACTTTGGCCATTTCAAGCTCCTCAGGAGTCTCGGCGGTCGCCACAATTCGATACACTGGATTATTGGCTGCTTGCATTTTTTTCTCGAACAGTTTTTCTTACAGTCGATTTCTTTATTACAAAATTGATTGAATAATTTATTTCGCATGAATGTCAATATTACTTGGTCTCTTGGTCTCCATAATATTCTGAGATGAGATTTTGTTGGTTTTCTGTTTGAGAGAAAGCGAAACCACGATATTCACCTGGTTTGGTAATGTTGGTGAAGAACTTCTTGAGATTTTGAGCTTCAAGTGGTGAACGCCTCTTTCTCTTGATGGTGACAGGCAAACCTTCTTCGAATGGGAAGTGTTGCATAATTTCTTCTCTAGATTTCTTGTCGTGTGTGGCTTGGACTTCATAGTACAATTTTCGAGATTGAATTCTAACCCAGAATTTCCAGAAAACGTCACGTAAACAACAAATTGCAACAGTTACCATCAAAACGACCCAGAAATGTGGAGTAAGGAAAATTCGATATTCCTGTAAAATGTCATAAAATTCTTTCAAAACTGGATATGGGAATCGGAAAGCGTAGAAGAGAGATCCATAAACAAAGATAAATAGTGGCCAGATCAAAAGACTTCCCAAGTAGAAAACAACGTGCATCCATGTCCATGATGAGGTTTCCAAAGCAATTTTGATTGTAATGACCACTAAAACACAAGAATATACCACAATACCAATGCTGTAGGTGTCAATATCTTGCCCATCTGGGAACTTGGCTCCAACAAGGCAAAAGAATGGAACAAAGAAACAAACTACTGAGTGGAAAATAGAGTTTACAATCCATCCAACAAATACTCTTGCATTGAACTGTACGGGTGGTTGTTTTTTTTGAAAAATATAAATCATGACCGTCATGGTATAGCAAGCTGATGAATATTTGATTTGTAACAGTAAAATACTTACGAATGCATTCTTGTGACCTTGATAATACAATTCTGGGAATTTCTCAGCCACACTTGCAGGAACATCTCTGTCCAAAACAGCCAAGACAAGGATAGGCATGCATGAGAACACAAGGTTATACAAACCGATGGTCCATCTGTCGTGAATACTTGTTCCAGAATATCCGTTGAAGAAGACGAACCACAATTGTGTTAAATATAAAATACTGTTCTTATAGAAACAATAAAGGACAAGCTTTGAAACTCTTCTATAGCTCCATCGACCATGAACGAGAAGTAATCTTTTGAGGAAACGGAACTGGCCAATAGAATAATCTGATGAATTTGCAGCTTGAAGACCTTCAACACCGCTGATGCCGATACCAACGTGAGCCGACTGAATCATGGACACGTCGTTTGCGCCGTCACCAATCGCAAGTGTTATACTGTCTACGTTCTGTTTAACCAATAGAACAACATCGGCTTTTTGTTTTGGAGAAACACGGCAACAAACCACAGATTTACACTTGATAGCAAGTTGAAGGAAAACCTCTCTCAAGGTGTGATCTTCTAAGATCGAATGCAATCGTTCTCCGTCTACAACTAAGCCAAGTACATCCTCACTTTCCTTTGCATTGTTAGCAGCATTCAAACTTGTCTCCAAAAATTCCTTAATATCTGAATAGGTGTGACCCTCTACAACAAGAATGCTCATAGCAGAGTTTAACAGATCGCAAGCGAAACCAATGTTAATAGCGGTTTCAAGTTTGTCTCCTGTGAGGACCCAAATTTTGATTCCAGCATTTCCTAACTCGTAGATAGTGTCTGCAACTCCGGTTTGTAACTTATCTTCAATACCTGTTGCGCCAACTAATTCCATGTTCTTTTCAATCTTGGCTGCTGTTGTTTCCACTTTGGCTGTTCTGTCCTCGAGAGAAGTTTTGGCTTCCTCATATTGTTTATGCCATTGCTCGTATTCTGCTTCGTCAAGATAAGCTTTAGCACACAATAGAGTTCTCAAACCTTCTGTTCCCATAATCTCGAGATGCTTCAAAGTGATGTCACCATAGGGTTGTGGTTGCTTGAGAAGTGGGTAAATGACAGAATCTGCTCCTTTACACAATAATATGAGTTTTCCTTGTGGATCTCTAACGATTACAGATTGGCGTTTTCTATCACTCGAAAACTCAATGATATCCAATACTTGATACGTTTCGTCAACACCATTCAACCTAATTGTGACTTCATTTGGAGTTCTTGCAATAAATTCTACTCCCAAGTATTTGGCTGCTTTAACTAAGGCAGCTTCGTCTGGAGATGACGCTTGATAAATAATTTCTTGGCCCTTTCCTCGTTCAGGAATTACAGTATGACAAACAGCTAGAAGTCTCAAGAAATCTTCAATAACAGCTCTATTTGATCCTTTTTGCCATACACCATTCATGAGCCTTTCATCATAAAATTGGAAATTTGGATTATTCTTAACATGAGGTGGTCTATTATCAGCAATGACTTTTCCTTCTCTCTTTGCAGCTGCAAGAGCAATTTCTGTGACACCCGTTCCATAAAGTTCACCTGCAACTGAACATTTCATAACTATCAATGTTGTCAATAATAAATTAGAATACATATTTTCATATTAGTACTTACAGTCCATTTTGTTTTCAGTCAATGTACCAGTCTTATCAGAGAAAATAAAATTAACTTGACCTAATTCTTCGTTAAGGGCAGAAGATCTAACGTTAGCAGGAGTGTCTGTGTCTTCGTGATACATTTGTAAATCTTTGCTGATGATGATGCCTTGCACAAGCTTGGCAGCCTCAATAGACACGTACAAAGAAATAGGTATCAAGTTGTTCAACAAAATAAGAAAAGTCCAAAAGCCCTTAAATCCAATCCATGCAACCTCACCGGCATTCACATTGAAGTTCTTGAATAAATACCACATTTTTCCATTGTTGGCTGTCCAGATCATGAGACAAATGTCGCAAATAACAATGAGAGTAATTTCTAAAGCAAGGACAAGCAACACAAGTTTGTTTGTCATTCTTTCAATTCTACTTGTTTTGTGTGGTGTTTCTCTATTGGTAGAAAATGAGCAGAATGAAAATGAATAAATTATGTTGATACCATTACACAAATTAAGTTGAACAAAACTACTTACTTGGTGTTCATCATGAGCTTGGTATCATGACCTGTAAAAACAGCAATACCAATAATGAAATCAGTATTCCTCAAAGAGGAGCCCTTAAAAAAAGTTTAGCAATAAATGCAATATTTAAATGATACATACCCTCAAGCATACTTGTTCAGGATCCAAAGAAAGTTTCTTTCCATTTGACATGATAAGAGTTCCTTCAAATTTGTACAATCTATTGTTTGGTTTTTCACATTCCAATGTCATTCGAGTGTTTTCTAAAACATTTGGTGAAATCATGTCCATTGTTTCATGTCTGGCTCTTCTAATTTTTAAGTTTGTCTCACTAGAATAGTGGTGGTCACATTGTTAAAGTCAAAAACTATCCAAAAGCAAATACTCACCCGTCAAGACTCGATGTTTCAATGTAACAAATGCCTTGATGTTCACTGCTGGATAATAATATCAAATCACAAGGGAAAGGCTCCCTATTGCAAACTCGAACAATGTCACCAGTCTGCACGTCCTTCCAAAACACGTCGACAAACACTCCATCTCTCAAAACGTGAGCCGTTCTCTTATTTGTAATGTTGTCGGAATAACGTCTTCTAATGTCTTCATAGGCGTCCTTCATCATTGTAAATATCAACACTAGTTAGTTTTCGTAAAATAATATTTTGTGAACGATCATGAGCATTATGATGAATTTTTGAACAATTCCCACTTACCCATTCCCAACGGAATAAATGTCGTAAATTGACCAGTTGGCGATAGTGTGGGAATCAACTGCAAAATAGCAATTACCAAAAAGTCTGTATCGTTGATAATAGGTCATGTACATTCCGAATTCCATCATGAAATGTCAAGAATCAATTGAATTATCGAACGACAAAATAATAAACATTCGAAAATAGTTGTTTCACGTGATCCGCAATGAGTCTCTCTCCATCGAAATAATTATTGAAACAATCATAAACTTACAACAATTCGCGAAACGATGAAATTGTTCCCACAAGTTTTTAAATATAAAATTCAAATAGGTATACTTGGTTGTCTTGATGTCATTCTTTGGAAATTTGAAGGGTTGATTAGCAACGTGGTCATTGACACGGATCACTCTTGTTGTTGATTTCAAATCATGCTTTTCTACCTTTCCTGGGTTATTGAATGTACCATTGTCTGTATTGTACGTTTGGAGATTTCCTCCACTCAATAGATCCTCACTTTCATCATCCGATGTTTTGGAGTTGATCAACAAAGGCTCTTGCAAAGCCTTGTTGGAAGAAGGCGGTTTGATGAGAATAGACTTATATTAGTCAATGATCATCGGCTCATCGTGATGAACAATTACAAACCTTTTCCTCACTCCTATTGATACTCATCCCGTAAGTCTCCAGATGATGAGAAAGTTATAGAGAGGTGATGATGATGGCGAGAGGAAAAATCAGACGGTTCAACAACACAAGAAAAAACAATCACAAGAAAAGTTTTTTGATTTTTTTAAGAAAGCTTGAATTGGAGCGATGTGGATATGATTTCGAAAGTGGTGGTTGATCAGTGGCAGTGGCAACTTCTCGTTCTTTCCCTTTCAAATATCCACTTAGACTCACAATTAGCATTATATTTCCTCAAACCAACTCAACACCAAGGGTAGTTCGTAATATTTGGGCGGGAAAGCTCTTTTCCCGCCTCCTAAAAACAAAAAAATACATGCAAATGGAAGAATCATCCTCTTCTTGGGCTGGACTGTCCTTTTCGAAATCACCCTCTTCCTCATCATCGACGTTTTCTCCTTCGTCTGTGAGCGGCGGGGGTGTTCGGTTTAGCCTTGCAAATAACCTACAAAATGATCACGATATTGCACCCTCACCTCTCAATTCTTCCAGTGAGGGAAGGTGCTTTTCATCGTCCAATGAACAAGACAAAGAACATGTAAAAGAGCTTCCTCACTTTCCATTATTTTCCTCCACGATAAAGGTAAGGAATTTTTGATCATCCTTTCGGTCAATTCCAATTTCTTTTGCCGTTTCTATCAAATTCAAAAAAATAGCCTGTGGAAGATCAACATTCTGCTTTTTCCTCGTTTTTATTTGCAGACACTCCGATACGAGGAAATGACAACACGGAGGCTCTTCTTAAACTAACGAATCATGCCGAAGAATTAAAATTAGAATTAGACATGTGGCGAAAGGCATATCGAGAATTACAAGCAAAACATACGGCACGACTTGAATCGATATTCAAAGAACAAAAACAAAGAGAGGAAGAATTGCGTGAAAAATATGAAGAAGAGAAAGCCTTATCTTTGAAGTGTGTCTCAAAAGCTAGTTATGTCATTTTAACTGATTTGAAAAACCTAATGTACATGCTACGACATCAAAGCATTGAAAATATTTATGAAATGATCAATAACGATCTGATTGAAAAAGATCTTGAAACAGATCAATTTGTTGCGACCTATAAGGAATTCAAAAATGTTCTGTCTAGTGTCTTCAAATCTCTATCTCATGAGAAGCAAACCAACAAAGACCACATGATCGTTATCAATAACTTAAAGAAAGAAAATGAACGCTTAGAAGCTGCTCTCCATGGCTATGAAAGAGAAAAGGTCCTTACTCTCGATTCACTCCGAGACAGTGATGACGATAGTGCTACACAAGAACGAATTGCTATGCTGGAAGAAAAAACAAAAACACTCGAGAACATTATCAAAGACCTCGAAGACAAGAGTGAAAAGATCAAAGCCGATAAAATAGAACTCGAGAAGCAAGTGATGGCTGAAACTAGGGTGCGTAAAAACATTGAAAGCAATGTTGAAACAATGACAAAATTGAAGATTGACGCTGAAAGTCAAGTGAATTACCTTCGTGATCAATTGCAACAAAGGGAACAAATCATCAAGACAAAACAAATGGAAATTGATAGAATTACAGATTCTCTGTCACAAGCAAATGACAAGTTACAAAGCTTGGAAAATTCTCTTGATAAACTAAAGGAAAAGTACGGAGACGAGAATTCATATGATTATTCTGAGCTGAGACAAGAATTGGAGGAAGTCACCAAACGATTAAATCATAAAACTCAAGAGAATGAAGACCTGATAAGATCATATGAAATGAGAATTGCACAAATGCAAATGGTCATCCAAGAGAGCCAAAAAGTAATAGACTTAGAGAGTAAGAAAACAGAAACAATCACAGCTCATCACACAGAATTAATTGAGGCGGTTGATCGCTTGAAGGTGTTGTTGCTGGAGTCGGGCGTAATAATCAAAAATACTAGGGATCATCAATCCGTTGTTGACAAAGCTGTTGAATTTATTTCTGTCAGAAATCATCATCTTTCTAACATTACAAGAGATTTTGAGCTTAGTAAAAAGAGACTGGAAGAGACTGAGAACGACAAGATAATTATCAAGAAAGAACTCGAGAATGTTATCGAAAATTTACAGCGAAAATTAAGCGAGGATGCCAGAGCAAGAGAAGAAGAACGTCTTAAATTTGACTCTATCGTTCATACACTTGAGGAGCAGCTTCAACAAAAGAGAGATGTATCCAACGAACAGGCACAGATAGCGGCAGAACAGACCAAGAGAATGACAAGAACAATAGAAAGGCTTCAAATCGATTTGGGAGAAAAAGATAAACAGCTTCAATCAGCAAATAATCAATTACGATTGTTGAGAGAAGAAAATGAATTCGGACTTTCTGCCCGAGACGAAAGAATTAGACAACTGGAAGAAACAATTTCAAAGAAGGAAGATGATCTTGCTAAAATGACGGTTGATCTCAACAAAGAAGTCGAACATCTCAAGAAGAAGATCAAGAAATTGCAAGGTGATAATGAAGCATTGCAAATTCGCGTGGATACAGAGAGAGCAAACTTAGCAAAGGAAGCTCAAGCGGCAACTCTGCAACTTGAAGAAGCATACGCGTCCCGGTTGCATGACTGTGAAATGAAAATGGATTCGATGAGCTCGCAATTAAGCAGTTATGCTCATCAAATCAAAGAACAAGATGATCGAATACTATTGTTGCTGAAAGAAAAAGAAGAGCTGATGAAGCGAGACGCAAACACCTCGGTTGAGAAGCTTCTGGAGGAGCAAATTAAACAGCTCCAAGATCATTATGAATCCGAAAAAGAAAAGTACCGATTGCAATATGAACATATGGTCAAGAAATACAAGAACTTGAAAGAGAAATATTTCAAGCAGTCATTGAGGCAAAACGAGTTACAGAACTATTTACTCAAACTCAAGAGAAAACACAAGAAAAAGAAAGAAGATGCAGACACTGTCGAGGAGGGGCAAGAAGATGCATTAGCTGTTGCCACCACATCCATGGATCAACAACATTCAAAATTTGCCACCACCAACATCAGTCCCATGAATAGTCAAATATTTGGAAATAATCTCTACAGCTCGTCGTCACCAGTGATACAAACAGAAGTTCCTAATAGGCATCAGCAGTATTATGATGCTCACCACATCTCCTCACAATTTGAAGATAGTGGATATCCTAAATTCATCTACCAACCTCCACCTCCAACACAACAACAACATTCTTCTCCTACTGTGAACGAGAACGCTCTTCCAACAACCTCGTTCTATCAGCCCATCAGTTCAGTTTCCATAACGAAAAAGAGTCCTCCAAATAGCAACAGTACTCTCAGCAACCATCACAGCCAACCATCCAGTCTTTCTCACACCACAAACACCTCACAAAACACAGCTCCTAAAAAGAAGAAAAAGTCAACAACGACAAATACCACATCAAGTCATACAACTACAAGCAGTCGAAGACCTTCTTCCAATCCTCACACAAGAAGGTGACCTAAGCTATATCCTCCACAATTACTCCCTCTAATAAAGAAGCCACGTGTGCTTTGCGTATTCACAAATAAGATTACAAAAAATTATCTCACATTCAACATGGGAAACGCTCAACAAGTAGGAGCTCTGCTCGGAAAGAAGGAATTTCCATATGATATTGAGGATGTTTATGCCGAGACATTTCTGTGGAAAGTACATCGTGGAAAAAGGAAATCAGACAATGAAGTGGTTACGATTTTCAAATTTGACTTTGATAACACCACTCCACAGGGTATGTTGAGTTTGTTTAAATTATTGATTTGGAAATTAATTTCTCATTTATTATTATTATTATAATAATAATTATATTAATCATCATCACGTTGAACGCCGTTTGAATAACTGACCATTACAAAATATTTTAGATAAAATCGAATTGGCAAAAGGAAGTCTCAAACGATTGCGTGCGATTCGCCATCCGAGCGTTGTAACCTTTTTAGAGTATGTTTTTGAATCGAATTGAAATGTTTGAAATATTCATTTGTATTAATTAATGCTGCTCATGACTGCATTCGAACGCATTCATTACCAACGTAGTGGTGTAGAATTAAGTAACACAATATTCATCGTAACGGAATATGTGGTTCCATTATCTGTTGAAATTCAAAATATCAAAACACAATTATCAGCTCCCGAGATGATCGCTTGGGGACTTTATCAAGTAGCTGTATGTTTTTCAAACATTATTTTCAAGATTATTGTCGTCAACTGGTGATCTCACCATAAACATCTAATGACATTTATATTCTTCAATACACATATAGAAAGCTCTCATGTTTTTGCACGGAAATAATTTATATCATTGTAATGTGAACATTGATTCTGTATTTGTAGATATCGGAGGAGATTGGAAGATCGGTGAGCTAGGTTTTTTAACATCATTCCAAAGCAGCAATGGTGGAGTAGTGAATCCTTCAGAAGCTGCATATGGAGTTCCTGTGAAAAGATTTTTCAATTACATTCCCAACAAGTACAGACCTTTAGAAGTTGCATCACAAAGGTTTGTTTTATGTGATGGCTATATTTAAATATATACTTAAAATATATCAAATGAAATTGGATAATTTGTATTTCTATTAGATGGGATTATGTGGATGCTAATCCTTCAAAAATTGATTCATGGGGATTTGCTTGCTTAATTTATGAAATATTTGAAGGACCAATGAATGTACCTGATGATTTGAAGAAAATTAATCTACCCAAGATTCCAAAAACACTTCGTGTGGCATTTGATCAACTCACTGATAAGAACGTTAAGATGAGATTGGAATTGTCAAACTTGTTGGAAAATCCATACTTTAATAATTCTCTCATTGAACTTCAACTGTTTTTGGAAAATATCACAATCAAAGATGCAATTTCTGTGGAAACATTTCTCAACAGACTTCCAGATTTACTACCACAATTACCACGAAACAACATGAAAAACAAAGTTTTGCCCAGTTTGATACAGCTGATCAAATTCGGAACTGCAGGACAAAAAAGCAATTGTGCCAATCATGAAACTGGGTACCTTATTGAATGAAGATGAATACAAGACGGTATTCATTCCAAAGGTTTTGGATTTATTTGAGATTGCTGATAGAACTGTTCGTGTGAATTTACTCAAAGGCATTGACCATATTGCTATTTATTTAACACAAGATCAAGCAGAGAATGTGTATGAGCACGTTTCAAAAGGATTTAGAGATACCTCACCAATTTTGAGAGAAATGACTGTGAAATCAATGATCGCTATTGTTCCAAAACTTAAAGAAGAGACCATTGACAACAGTGTCGTGCGATATATGTGGGCACTTCAAGGTGACAAGGAAAATGCCATCCGAACGAACACAATTATTGCATTTGGAAAACTTGCCCCAAACCTTTCTGAAAAAACTCGAAAGAGAATTTTGTTGGCTGCATTTGTGAGAAGCTTGAAAGATCCATTTGTGCATTCCAGATTGTCTTCATTGAAAGCACTTCTTTCAACAAAACAATACTACTCTGTCAGTGACATGGCGGTGAAGGCATTGCCATTTGTTGTGTCACTCACAGTCGATCCCGAAAAGCAAGTCAGAGATTTAGCATTTGTTGTGTTAAACGATTTTTTGAAAACCATTTCCGAAGTTTCAGAACAACCAAATTTCAATGAAATTATTAACAGTGAAAGAAATGCAGAGACAAATTCAACATTGACGAGTGGTGGCCAGAATCAAGGCGGTAGTGACTCTTCAAATGTTGGATCTGATTACTTCTCTTGGGCCATGAAATCTCTCAAAACCAAAGTGTTGGGAGAAAATCCAACACAACCTTCTTCATCAACACCATCAAGTGGCTCTACAAGTAATCAAACAAGCACGAGCAACATCACCTCTTCCTATGGCTCAACAAGTGCTCCACAAACAACAGGTACAACACCAATTTATAAACCTGTTGTACTTTCGAACAGCTCTACACAACCTCAACAACCACAAAGAACGCAATCACAGCAACAAGATCCATTCAGTCAAATGACTGCCAGTCTTCAGGCAAAATCGAATACATCTTCTTCTCCAAACATGAATAAGAAATTAGAGCCACAAAAAGCAACCAATAGTTTGAAATTAGCAAAAACGACAAATAATGATCCATTCGATGACTTTTTCGACATGTCAGACGACAGTGGCACTAATTCCAACGCTTTGGGAAATATGACCACTGGATCTTCAGATCTATTGGATGATGATTGGAGCAGTTGGGATAATTTGGATTCCATTGTGCCCTCTTCATCGAAACAATCCTCACAACAACCAAACAAAACGACTTCTCAACCCTTAAAACTAAGTCACTCCACAACAGGCACAACAACAGTGAACAAGAGCACATCGAACACAAGTAACAACAATTTGTTGGAAGATGACTTTTTTTCCTCCATGCAAAGTAATCCACCAACTTCCAAAAAAACAAATCTTATGCAACCAACCACAGCGACAACTACATCAACGAATGCGAGTGTTCAACAGAATAGAACGAGTCCAATGCCAACGTCAGGAAGTACTTCCAACAAGACACAAAACACAGCCAACAAGACAACAACCTCTTCACAGAATTCCAATAAGAAAACATCGAATGCCAACAACGGTTGGAGTGATAACTGGGAAGAATGGTAAAATGTCATCATTCATGACACAAGTGTCCAATAAATTCATTCTCGTGATGAATGGAACAAGTACTTATTTCGAAAGAAAAAAATGTTGCAACAAGCCTTTCGATCGTTCATGTCATCATCCTCGGATGGAGACCACCACCGATCGGATTGGAACAGCCACGATGAGAACAACTCATCTCGGAATCTATTCGTTCCATCATGGATGAAAGAATGGATGAAAGTGATGAACAACTCAAAGAATCATTCATTGAAATCAATGTTTGAGAAGGGACAATATGGAACCATTTTGGAGCGCATTGATGAGTTTGAAAAAGCAAAATCGTTCCGAACCGAGAAAGACAATTCTTCGAGGTCTCATGATCATAACGGAGAATTAGTAGAATTAAGAAACGATATATGTTATTTATCCTTCATGATTGATAAAGTCACTTGCTCCATCTTGAACAACAACCCTTCACTCCGCGTATTGAATGACGAGGGCTCAGGAAAAACATCATCCAGTGATGCACTCGAAGGCTATATTTCTCATCTTCATCGAGTTTTGGATGCTCTTTCCAGGAAGGATACGCTTTCTCATCATGATATGGTGTTTTTAATTTTTGGATTGAAGGCCTATGTCATCGGTGTGTACAATAATCTTGTATTGAATCATCAATCTCCAGCACATGAAATGACAATCAAAGACATCATTTATTCATTGAATAATTCATTGCAATTTTGTTTAAATATTGTGCTGAAGAAATTTGTGAGAAAAGAGTTGAAAGATTTTGATTACTTTGACTCATTGCAGGACGCTATCGAACAAAACTTTTCTGGATACTTGTTTGAAGACCAAGAACAATTGGCACCCAGAACAAAAAAGAGGAAAAAATCTTCATCTATTAATTTGCCAATGATTGATTACTCTAAAACTTTATTAGATTATTTGGATTTTGCAGATACTCAATTAATTTATCCATTTCTGAATTTGCATGTACATATATTCAAAGCTTTTAATTATCTCAACTCTTTACTTTTGGAGAAAAGAAAATATTCCAAGATTTTAAGGACCTCATACATATCGACAACCAACAAGGGAGTGGTATCCACTGTACTGAAAAAGCTCACCAATTTATGTGTACTCAACAGTTGTACCAACTTGGAAATGGCCATTTTGGAATGTGAAAGAACAAATAATATTCATATTGTTCTAGCATTAATTGAGGAGCGAAAATTTGAAGAAGCAAAATTTCTTTGTAATTGCATGACTGATTACATTCCATCTCTTTTCCTTTTAGGAATTATTTTCTTGGAAGAAGATAATGTCAAGACCTCTAAAGAATATTTTTTACAAGTCACACAGCTTGCTCAATCACAAGACAGACATGAACACACCTATCTTATTCATAGTTGTAAATTAATCTCTCTACTTTGTATTAAGGAATGGAATTTGGTCGATGGTTTAATTTGGTTCCAAAAGGCCTGTGATCTCGAAAAAACAGAAAACGTTCAATCCAAAGTAGAATCGATGTACAATATTTGCAAAATTAAGGAATGGGTTGGAGAATTGTATTCCAAACGAAAAATACTCAAAGACATTTATCAAATTTTGACAAAAAACCACTCTAGTCTCTCTCCCTCTGAAAAGGAACACATTTCTATTAATCCAATACTCATTCTTTATCAAATTGGACTCTGCGTGCTGAAGGAGGAAAACTTTCAAAATGCATGCCAATGTTTTGAATACATTCTTACAAACCTTCTCTCAGTCAGTGACAATGAAAAGTGTTGGGGAAGATTGAATCAAAATCCAGAAAAGACCCATCCAGATGAGCTCGTTTCTCCTCTCATATTACTTCGAGTTTATATTTATTGCTTACTTCAGACCTATAATTTCGAGAAGGCACTTGCATTGTGTGACTTTGTGTTGAAGAAGCTAGGAAGTGATTCACCAGATATTTGGCCTTTCAAATTGTACAAATGTGATGCGTTGATGGCTCTTGAACGACCACTCAGTGAGTGTGAGTTGGTACTTGACTCTGTTTTGCAAGGAAAAGACAATAGTAGCCTTTCTAGAATTGTAAAATCCATCATTTACAACAACAAGGCCCTCATTCTTATTTGTAGACATCAAGAAAGTGACGCCATGAAATTGTTAAAGAAAAGTCTAGCATTACTTCCAGAGAAAGCGTTCAACGATGACAACTTTAAAAAGATCATGTACGATCTACAAGCAAGCATTACCTTTAACATCACAACTACATGCTTGGCATTGAATCAATTAGAAGATGCTGCTAAATGGTGGTTTTCATTTAGAAAGATCCCTTTCTCAACACATGTCACTTCCGAGCAATATTCTCAACTCTTTACTGAATTAGAACAAAAACAAACCATGAAATCCATTAAGGGAGATGTTGGCAGCACCACACACATTGACGATCTTGATGATTCAACCTTCATGTTACTCTCTCATGTGACAGGAAAATGTACAAGACAACAACAAATTGCTCTTGACTTGTTAATGCTCAAGTTGTATAGCAAGCATTTGGAAAAGATGGAAGACGTGTGATTCAATGGAGAGTAATAACAAAGCTTCAATGGAATGATGTTCTCACAACATAGCTTCCAAAAGACATATCACCGTTCGTAATTGTCACTTTCACAAAATTTTCCGAAGGTGTTTCATATATGTGAACAAAAAAACACAAAATGGTTCCAACACCTTTTTCTTCGCCATTGCTTGTGGATACAAAACCTCTCTTTCCAATTCTTCCCTTCTTGCACGAAAATTTTGAAATATTCCAGAATTCAACAAATTATCACACGAACGGAACCAATTCATCATGGTTGTATTCGGAGTGGTTTGGATGGATTGGTGTTGCTGTTTGGTAGGTTTGATGACACTACTTTGGAGCAGCAAATCATCATTATCAACACGTAACTATTCATGGTCGTAATCTTTGTGAATTTTATGATTGAATTTGTTGACAAATGGTTTTGTTGATGGTCTTTCACAACAACAGCATTCTCACATGGGGAACCTTTACAGCTCCGCTAAAAATCAAATACGTCCGAGATGTCAATTTTGATCCCATGATTTACCAATTCTACTTTTCTGCTGTTGTCTTTCTTCTCAGTTTTCTTGTTCTTGCTTGGAATGAATGGTATTTCTCTTGGTATGGTGTGGCAGGTGCTGCCATTTGGATTCCTTCTTCAATCTTCTCAATTGTAGCTGTGGATAAATTGGGTTTGAGTGTGGCTCAAGGATTGTGGAGTGGAGTGGTTATTCTTACAAATTTCATATGGGGTGTGACGTTGTTTGAGAGCAAAATTGGAAATTATTATTTGACTGCTTTGGGATTGGTGTTGATGATATTGGGAATTGTTGGAGTTGCCACTTGTAGTAAATGGAATGTTATTACGACAACAACCAATAAGGAAAATTCAACAACTAAGGAGGATGATCTCGAGAAGAAGGGACTCATAGAGGATGAAAGTTTGGCGAGTGTGACAGTCACTCAACATCATTCTCAAGAAACAACGCCGTTATTTGGAAAAAATCAATCCTATGATCCTGCAATGAATAATGATAACACAACACCAAACTATGGAGGAGTTATGAGTCACCTCGATCATCTCATTGCTCAAGAAGAGGCTTCTCTCCATGATCATGCACAACAGGAATCATTGATTCATCGAGGTGACGCTTATGGAGCTTACCCATCAAGTTCCTTAAATGCCACTAAGGAAGAATACATGAACAATGACGACATGAATCGTCACAACAAACGAAAGCAACGCATTCTTGCTCTCCTTAAAAATTCCAAAGATTACTTTATTGGAATTCTGGCAGCAGTTGCTTGTGGTATTACGGGCGGATCAATGTTTGTACCCTCACGATTGGATAGTGACAGAGGAAGTGTCTATATGGTTGGATTTGGAATTGGATCTATGGGAATTACAAGTATCATGCTCGTGGTGTATTATTATTATTATTTCTTTCGATACAAGAAGGAGTTGAGTTTTTATCCAAAGTTGTCCATCTTTCCTTGTTTAACCGCCATGTTATGGCAAACGGGAAACTTTTTTGCAGCTTTTGTGAGCGCAGGACCACTAGGATTGACCATTGGAATGCCACTGACAGAGACGTCCTTGGTGGTGGCTGGTTTGTGTGGATTGATTTTCTTTAGAGAGTTGAAAGGATGGAAAGCGATTGTTCAGTTCTTTGTAAGCACATTGATCATGTTGGTTCCTGGGTGTATTTTGTTGGCCTTGTTCGGAAAGACTTGAACCTAAAAGGTTATGAATGAACAGATCTGATGAAGACATTTGAGAGGTCTCTCAAAAACAAACAACACATCGAGTAAGGTGTTTTTCCTTACCAAAAAATAAACTTCAAGTTTGTTGGATTTAAATAGTTAACTATTGACTGTTGTAAAACGACTTGAGTTGTTCTCGGAATGAAGCGTTCGGGCAAGTGACACTTCTTTGGTTTTTCACATGATGAAACACTTGTTCAAAACTCAATCCATAATATTTCATGATGTATGAAATCACTGTGGTAGAGCTTCGGCTCACTCCCATATTACAATTTACAATGGCTTTACCGTTTCTCTCATATGCTTGTCGTAAAAATTCGTTAGCTTGATCGAACAAGTTCGAAATACTGTGTGAAATTGTGTCACCAGTTCCTAACTTTAAATAGGAATACTTTTTCACTCCTGGAGCGACTTCCAAAAATTCCAAATCATTGGAAACTTCCTCCGCCATATTTAAAATATATGTAATTCCTAAATCAGTGAGTTCAACATCACTCGAAGCACTTTCCTTATCACCCAAATATAAAAAGTTTTCAATAATTTCTGATGGATAAATTCCTTGATAACCAATACCTGTTTCTCGCAATGTCAAAAGAAATCCATACTTGTCACAAAACGATTTGTAACTTGTCAACACTATAATATTATCTAATTTTCCTTCCCTTCGTAACAATTCACTCAACAATAGAACAGGATATCTTTTCATGTCACTCAATTGAATCGGAGTAGAAAATTTCATACACGATGGTAAAAACAGCTCACAATTAGGATGAACTTCATGTGTGAATTTTTCAATAGGTGTTTCAAGTGGTGGTGGAAGAGTCGTATCGCATTCATCATTACTTGTTGCCATACTACTGGAACACAAATCCTTGTTCCCACAATTATTAATTTCATCACCATACAACAAAATGGTCTTGTAGGATAATCCTCTCAATTTAAACAGGGAATTCTTTCCGAATAGTGTATTCAATTTTATGGTAATTAAATTTTCATCCATTCGTTCAGCTGTGGTTGTTCCGTTGACGAGTTCCAACAAACTTTGAATCATTTCCGATTCTTCCATTCCGAGTGAAAAACTCGCACGAATATGACTATCATCGTAATGACTTCTTGATCTTACATCAAAAATGGATTTTGATATTGCCACGTCTTGAGTTTTGTTGTAGAAATACGTTTGATCGACTAAGAGGACGTTGGAAATGTGTGGTCGAGACATTTTTTTAAATTATAATTTTGTGCTGAACTTGAACTTGTCCAAATCGGGCAAGTCAATTAGTAACATCTCCACAATTAAGAAAAACAATTTTTGCTTTTAAATCCGATCGAAAGACCGTGATTAACACATGGAAGAAACTTCATCCTTTTCAATTAATTCGGGGAGGGGGATCGAGAGCGTAGGCAATCAGACTTTTGCCTTCCATTTTGGGCCTAACTATAAAAGTAGCAAACCAAAAAAATGTTTATTGCAGGGTGGTTTGACGAAGTTGCAGATGCTTCACAACAGCTTTTGAAACAATATCTTCAAGAGTTTCTTTGAAATACGGAATGATACCACGACTACCTTTTGGAATCCAATTTTTGACTGTAGCTAATTCAGGAATTATGAGATTGTAATGTAAATGGTTGAACTAATTACATGGTTGATGTTGATTTCGTGCTCCGGCCATTCTGACAAAAAATTGCTTTCCTGCATAATATTTAACAAGAATCCAAAAACGTTTTGCAATATCAGAATACTGGTGATGACGCGGATCTCTATTATAATTTCGTAATTGGTCGAATATAAATTGCATGAAAAATGTATCCTCAAAAGGTTTTTTCATTTCTGGCAAACAAGGTTTACAAGTAGGTTCTGTTCTGAGATCTAATTTAACTTTCTTTTGTGGTGATTCCATCACATACTCAACATTCACTGACTCAAAATTCCAGGTTGAATCATAATGTTCTTGGGCTTGTCGAAATAATGACACTAATTCAGATTCGGTCTCAGTTAACTCTTTTGAATGAACCACTAACTTGCTAATTATTTCATACATGAGTAAAGGATACGCAAGTAAACTTTTAGGTGCGGGACGAACTCCATCAGCAATTTGTTGGAAAATAACATCTTTCTTTGAAATAATTTGATCAAGGTGGTTCATTGTAGATTGGCAATTATTGCAAATCCCGGTTGCTTTTGTGCCGAGTTGATTGCATTCAACAGATTTCAATTTGGTCCCTGTTTTAATTGCAATCGGCTTATAGTTTGCATTGAATATACAATCACCAAAAAGCAGCTCTGAATATTTATCGGATGGGAAGCCATTGCAATTAAATTTTAATTCCTGTGATGATGGAGTTTGAGGTGTTTGAAAAGTCGAAGTTGGATGAACTGTGAATGAGGATTGTTGATGTTGCCTCTTATTTCGATGCTTTACAGCACTGGGTCCGTTGTGGAACTGCATTTTTTTGCTAATTGCACTTTTTAAGTTAGGCCCAATATGGAAGGAGAATCTTTGATTGCGTTGCTGGTAGCTACGCTCTCGATCCCCTCCCCGAATTAATTGATGTGAAAAAAAGTAAAATAAAAAAATGCTTCCTTCCATTCACACTCCGAATCATGATCAACGGCATCTTTGTGATGGTTTATGGATCTTGTATTACCACTGTGTTTCGAGTTTGAGTTCATTTTCAAGCATGGAAGCTCACGGAGTCATTCAAAATACAAAATTTATAATCGATGATGAATCGACCCATTTCAGGAAATCGAATGACTCGAATTCAACAAACACAACATCACTCTCTCGTAGGCAATACAATTGTACGGATTCTTTGATCACGTGTCGTGTCGAGGGATATTTGCAAAATGTGTCGCTGAGACATGTCTTTTTATTAATGTTGAGAGAGAAATTTCTGGAGGAGGATTATCGAGAGAAGTATTTGATGAGTGTAGGTAGGATTGGAGAATTTCTCGAGATTTTATGAAGTATGGAATTATGAATTTGGAACTTGTTTCCGTATTTACATTTAAATATTTGATTTTATCATGATGACGCAATACTTGAATGTTCATTCAGGCATCTGCTGAAACGGTGACTCTCATTGGATTAATCGCCAAGAAATGTTTACGGCTATTGGAAGAGGGATTTAAATCTGAAGAAATCATTCAAGCATTAACTGTATTTTGTGAAACATGCATTCAAGAAATTCGATCACATTCTATTGCCATCAAGGAAAATGAAATGTATTCGTTTTTGGACCGCATTCACAAAAAAGCAATTCAAGGAGAAAACGAACCTCTTCGACTTGCAACAGAATCTCTATTGGCATTGCCATTAGAGACCTTTTCACGAAATGGCACGACTCTTTCTCTATTCATTAATAACGGACGAGTGAATTGCTACAAATTTATGGGAACAGGAAGGAAAAGTTTTATCTGTCACGGACTCGTGTTGCCTGTTCATTTTTCTAATCTTTCAAGTGTTGGATTTGCTGTGGAGGTATGTGCTCATTCTAGTTGAACATTCGTTGTGAAAACTCTGAACACGCAACAATACAGGGGAAATGTCTATTCATTGAGGGTCACTTAATGGACAGCAACGTTTTGAATTTTGTGCAGGAAAATTATATCAAGATCGTATTTTGTTCAGGAGAAATAGCTGAACCTCTACGAGACCTTTTCACAAATCATCAAATTTGTTACATGTATCATATTTCACAAAAGGATGCAAACAAAATTTTTCACATTTGCAATATTATGCCGCTTCCTTCAATATTTTTGGAAGAATTATTTTCAGAGGAACAACATTGTGCCCAAATCTCCATTAATCCTTTAGAAGGATTTGAACACGAGAACATTTATCACAACTCAACGGACAAGTATGTGACCCTTCTTGGCAAGAATTTCACAAGATCTGTTATCTCATGTGTCATTTGTTGCAGCAGTTTGAAAGTTCGTCTCTATGAAGAAAAATATTGGGAATGTATGATATTTCTTTGGAATTGTTTAAAGCACAAAGAATATACAGCAAACAAATTGAACACTCTCACTCAATGTATGCAAGTAATGGAATCTTACTGCGAAACGTTAGAGAGAAAATCGACACTTCCTCCAAACACTTTCCATGAGAGCCTTAGAGACATGATTTGGATTGCTCTTTCCACATCAGGATTAGAGTATAGCAAATGCACTTCGGTTACTCAAACGATTTGCAGTGGTCAACCATTGGAAAGTTCAGATTCAATGTTGGAGAATGAAACAGATACTTTCTCGCTTGAGCGAATGTTTGAAATTGTGCATAACATGTTTTCCATCATCTTGAATACGGATATTGTTATCAAGTGAGAAGGTTCAGCATGTTATGGTAATTATCATTTCAGATTCTTCCGTTTCCTGAAGAGCCTCTGCATTTGATGTGATGTCAGCACTGTTCATACTGACATTGTTTGATTCAGCCTTTGCAAAATCATTAGTTGTTTGTTGCTTAGAGTCATGATGAAATGATTGTCTTTCTTTCAGTTTGACGTTACACATTTTCACCACTTCAGGTTTGTCATTGATGAGCTTTTCTTCCTCCACTGTGATGGAATCCTCAGGACCCCAAATAATCTTGTTTTTCTTTTCAGGATGTGCATCATTGGTCGCACTCTGTACTTGATCAGACTTGAGTTTTAATTCTGTTTGATTAATATTGTCAACCTTAATAATGAGGGGTTTGTTAGCTTTTGATGAGGCAGGAGACAACAAGGCTTCAAATACTTCTTTTTTCTTTTGATTGGAATATAGAGAAGCACCTTTCTTGATTTGCTCAATAACAAAACTCCTCACAAAAGGTAGATCAGAATCAGTAGCCACTTTCTCTCTTGAAAATATGGATGAAAAGGAGTCACAATTTCTGGCATTTGAATGTATGGAAAATAATTGATAAGTCCTCTCAACAATCTCTTCGTTTCTGCTTGATTTTAACACATTCAGAGAATTTTCAATTCTCTCAAAGAGCTTATCTTTCCAAGAAGCTTGTACGTAAATGTCCAGTAATGAACTTAGAATACAGCATTTTACACTAGAGTCTACATCGAGCGGCGAATTTAACATATCAACGAACAAGTCTACAAGGTGCTCTCCAGCTGGTAGCCTGGAGCTTTTATCCTCTGTTGTGTTGTTCATGCCTTTTAAAACACAAATTGCAATAGTGAAAATGGAATTAGAGAAGTCATTTTTCGATCCATGTACCGCATCTTCGAGGATTCTAAACAAGAAAGTAGATACGAATTGAATGGTATTCTCCTCTTCACCAGTTTGCAAGTTCAAAATTGTTTGTGTAAACTTGTTGGTGGCATTTTCAGAAATGAGTGGCTTTCCTTCCATATTTCTTTCATTGCCTACAACTTGGAGAAATTTGATAAGTGCTGTTGAATACCATTTAAGATCAATGGAACCATATTTTTCGAGAATGATACTGACATATCCAATTATTTCTTCAGCCATGTATAGATCGTTTACAGATATCACATGTTTCAAACATTTAGTGAGCCTTTCCACAATCAATTTCACATTTTTCTTATTGACCATCTTCACTAATAGCCTGGTGGTTAACTTTTGAATGGTTTCATCATGACTATCTAAAGAATCAATAACCATGTCTTGGTGTTTTAATACCAGTCCTGGATTTGATTTAAGAACCATTCTTAGCATTTCAAGAGAAACATATCTCGAATTTACATTTTTGAAATCTTGATTCCAAATATACCGAGTAACAGCATCAAATATGAAATTGAGAAGTTGAGGAGAGGGATAAATATTGGTTGCTGTTTTGATGCATTGAAACATGACAGCCGTTCCAATATCGTTCTTTGCTTTTTCAGCTCTCTTGTAAGTTGATTTAATAATTTCATACATTTCTTGGCTTACTTGTTTGTTGTATCGTCCCAATAATGACAAACATTGTAGAGCTTTGATTTGAAACCAAGGAGCTGGTAACTTTCCATAGATATAGTCTGTGAAAATATTGCACTCTATAATTTGGTTCAATATTGATACTACTACTTGTGAGAGTTTTAACACTCGTTTGTCGATATGTTTCAGTTCGTATGGAATAATTTCGATTAACTTTTGTGATAGATACTCTTTCTGTTTTGAAATTAATTGGATGTGACAGTCTGCGGCATAGTCGCACAAGAAACACATTGCAGCGTGCAGCACAGAAGTATCAAAGTCGTTAAGTGACAAATCAATATATTGCAAATAATTTCCAGAAAAAGAGTCGTCATTTGAGGCGCCAACATTGAAACATTTTCTCTCTCTTTCCATTAAATAGAACGAATGAAGTGTAGATATGGCTCGTTTTCTCACCTCTGACCTTTGATGTTTTAACAGAGGGACAACAAATGGCAAAATTGCAGGAATTGTTTCCAAATTAATTAATTTAGCCGAAGCAATTAAGGCTGATACCACATTCAAATATCGAGGACTTTTTAAATCTTTCTGAATGACATTAATCATTAGAAGCATTAATTCATGATTTCGATGCAACAACAAAGTCAACGCCAAATATGCCAGTCGCTTCTCATACACTGACAGGTCACTTAAAGCACAAAAATTGACAACATGAATAGCTGCAAAGTGCTCAGTTGAGTGTCCCATCATCTCGCAATAGAGAAGCCTCAAAATGACTTCTTTCATTTCATATCGATCATTGATCAAATTGGGATTTTGTGATAATTTCGTCCTTAATTCCTTCTTCATTTTCTGTATTTCCTCATACTCTAACTCACGACTCTGAACCTTTCCAATCCTCTCAATGAATTGAGCAAACTGTTCAGAAATGGCATCAAAGTTGGAGTGAGGAGCAGCCGATGCTAAGGCTGATGATAATATATTTGAAGATGAATTTAAGGTAGAATTGATAATGACCGATGCACTGCCACTACCACCAGCGCTGGCAGTAGTGGTAGTCGGTGTTGGTATGAAATGTTGGCTCACCACAGAAGAAGCCTGAGAAAATGTGGCGGAAACCAACTCGGTTATTTTGAACATTTTTTTGTACACGAAATGGTCCATTGAATTGGATTGGTAGAAGCTTCTTGATGATGCTTTATACTCACCACTGTTGTTTGATGAGTTTCATTGCTAGGTATTATAATTGAACTGTACTGACTACCTCGAGAAGAGACTCATGAGTCATGTTTTATTGCAAACGGCATGATGATTCGCCTAATTAAGCTTTAAAAAAATGAATTCCGAACAATCAAGGCAATTTCCACCATCATCATCGCCAACAACAGCAACAATAAATTATCAACAACAACCACAAACACCCTATCAACATCAACAACAAAATGTCATTCAACCAAAAGGAAAGGAACCTTTTGTATTTGCAAAGGATCCAAACTCTATCAAAGTGGAAGGATCATCAACGATTGAAAAAGTCGCCAAGGTTGGCAGGCTGATGTATCAATGGCAAACCGAGAATATGTATGAATTACAACCCGAAGATAATGTTGCAAGGATGAAATTAGCCAATCAAAATTCCAATACAATTATGAAGGCTTTTGTTGTGTCGGGTCTTGTTTCATGGGTAGCCACTGTTGGACACAAGAAAGACGTTTTTTACTATCCTTTACGAGCATATATCATTAAACAAATTTGTAGAGTGAGACCCTATCGCTCATTGAATCCATTCACATCGCTCGCTATTCAGGCTGGTATTTTTGCGTATGCTTTGGGATACATCGGAAATGAGAGAATTGCTGCTTATACGTATACATTTTCTCAAGTTTGTACTCCATATGGATACATGATGAGAAAGTTGATGTCCCAAATTGATGACCCAAAGCACAAGTACAAGCCAGCTATTTTGACTGCACAACAGGAATATGATGCTGAATTTGAGAGAAAGATGAATGAACTTTTACACAAAAAACCTTCCGATATTAATCATCACGAAGAGGAGATGCACGAGTCATCTACCACTAGATCTGTAATTCCGCCTAGATACCAAAGAAAGACACGAATTAATAGAGGTTTTTCACACGAGGAGAAGGTCAAATCGAGCCCTCACGATCTTGACAATCACTATTCTGATGAACCTGCACAGGAACAAAAACACTACGAAGATGAACATTAATATGATGCCATACATGTGTGCACTTTTATCTGATCCTTGTAAATACCTGTTGGACAGATGATGTATTAGTTGAAATTTTTGGCCATTAACCATTTAGCTATCTATTTTTTAATGATGAACAGCTGGTTTGATTATTCTGCTCATGATGGGAATTAAGGTAATTTAACGTAATAAATTAATGTGTTTTTAATGCTTTTTGGAAGATCATCAATCCTCAATAAAAAACAGTGTCAGGAGTGGAATGTCGTTCAAACTTTCTAAATTCTTCCTGTTTACCCAACTCGCCCCACAAATAATAGTCCAAATGTAAACTATTGATACCTGCATTGTAGGGTTCGCTATTGGCGATTCGAAGAATTTCTTCTGATGCATGAACAGCAAGAGCTCGTAACTCAACTTCTGGTTTGCTTCCATACTTGAATGGTTTTCCATTTTGAATTTTCAATCTCACTTCTTCATCGATTTCTAAAACTCCTGATTTTATCAGCGTTGCAGGAATAACATTGTCAACAAAAATTGTCATTTCATGAATATCTGGGAAGAAAAATGTTGGGTCCTCTTCGTGTAAATGGATATGTAATTCAGCGACAATTAATTGTGCTTTCTTATAGAGATAGACTTTGAATTTTTCGTGATTGACATTCTCATAGAGTGCACTGTCATCAAGTGCAAAAGGGAATACTTTCACCAATTCATTTACCACAAAAGCAGCTTTTCCAATCCCTCTAACATCACTATATTTCTCCTCGTGTTGCTTCTTTCTTTCATACTCTGCAATGACTTTTCTCATAAATGTGGCAAACGAGTCAGAGGATCGTTCTCTCAATTTTCTCGAAGTTTCGCTCAGTACCATCTTCAAATTCTCGGCAAATGGTTTCAATGAACTATCTTTCTGCACCTTAATTAATGGATATTTCTCGTGAGGAGCTTCTTCTTTAGCTGGTACTTGAAAGTATTGTTCCAGTGCGAAATAATTATCAGACACTTTGTCCATCATATCAACACCCAGGGATGAAATGGCAACATTTTCCGATAGAAAACAATTAATAAGACCTCTTTCAATAGTTTCACTTGCTCCTCTTGATAATTTCTCGTGTAATAATTTTCTAAATCCCGATCCAAATTGTAGTAATCCATACAAGCAACGATAATTAGCTTCATGATCCACAGAATCAAATTGGAAAGGAAGAGCACCTTTCTTACAAGCCTTTTCTTTAATACTTTGCAAATTTGGAATTAAATATTGTTCAATAAATTTAATAGCACCTTCCGTGCTGAATTTGACATGAGTCGTTTCGATGGAAGCTACTCGTTGGCAGCTTGATTTTACCATCTCAAAAGGATTTAACGATGGCACACCGGATGAAGAGTCAGAAGACATTTTTTTGTTGATCGGAACCGGAATTTGCACATTCTCAGTTTCAAATGAACACAGGACAAGATATGTGGTTGTCCCAGTATTATAATATAATATAATGGTGTATTATACAACAACAGCAGGAAGAGTTTTGCCACTGAGATTAAGACGTCGACGGATTGCTTGAAGGCGGAAATTACAAGAAAAAAATGCAAACCGAGCAAAAGTAAGTTTTTTTCTCGTTCTGCTCTATTCGCTCACGTTTCTCGTTCTCCACAACAATAACCATCATGATGGAAAATTATGAATTGCATCATGATGATTGTATGATGATGTAAATAGAAATTGCACGTTTTATTGGAAAATCGGAGCTTGTAGGCTTGGTGATCGATGTTCTCATTTGCATCAGAAGCCAGCCTATTCTCAGACTATCATGATCCGACACATGTATCCAAATCCGAGAGGCGCTAATTTTGTGGATCAAGACGGAATATTAAGACCATTCACGAATGAATTCTTGAGAGAATATTTTGATAACTTTTACGCTGATATATTCAAAGAATTGGAAACCAAACATGGACTGACCATTGAAGATTTATATGTTTGTGATAATACTTGTGAACACATGTTCGGAAATGTTTATATTTCGTTTGCAAATATTGAAGATGCCAAAAAGTGTTTTCAAATTATGAAAGGAAGGTTTTATGCCGGAAGAATGTTAGTTCCCGAGTATTCACCTGTTCTTGATTTTTCGGAAGCAAAATGTCGACCTTTTGAAAGGGGAGGAGAAGAACAATGCCCTAAAGGAGCTAATTGCAATAATATTCATCCATTGAAGCCATCCGAAGATTTGTTAAAACATTTACTAGGAGAAACTAGATATGAATTGTACAAACAGAAACATGAGACACCTACTCATCATTATCATCATGAACATCATCGTGGTGTTTCATCTGACTACAATGCTCAATATGCAGGAGGTCAACACCGACACAGACCACCACAACATAGAGATCAACAGCCACCACATCAGCAACCTCAATTTCCCACACCTCCCTCTAAACCTGGATTTGTTCCAAGAGGTGGCAATATCAGTGGCAACACTGGTGGAGGCAGATACAATGACAACAGAGGAGGTGATAATCGAAGATTTAGCTCCTCATCATCTGGGTCAGGAGGATATTACAACGAACAACATCAACAACAGCCTCATCATCGAGATTCTAGAGGTGGTGGAGGAGATAGGTATCCAAGATCGGATAATAGACCACCAAGCAACGATAGATACTACAATGCATCCACATCACCTCCAGGATCCTCTTCTGGAAGTGATTACAACAAGAGAAAGAGGAGAGAGGACTCTGATAACAATTATGGATCATACTACAAGAGAAATAAGGAATAATTTTTAAATTGAATATATTAATTTTTGTTGAAAATTAAATGAATTTCTTAGAAAAATTAGCTCAAGACTTATCAAAGGATTGTTGGAATTAGTGTAAATATGATCAGATTCGTCCTTAATTGTGGTTATTGACGTGTTGCATAAGCATCTCCACGTCAATTGTGCTTCTAGCTCCCGATTGATAACAACGGTAGTGAAAAACTTTCTTTGATTACAAATTTTATAGGTGAACTCTGAATCCATTAGAAGATGGGTTCTTCATTTGACATTTGACAAATCGAATCTCACTCGAGAATTAAAGAAAAAAATGAAAGTACAACATTCTCAGTCTCACTTGGATGATGATCCGGCTGCTCCCACCAAAAGCCAATCACTATCACAAAAGACAACTTCACTATTATCATGGATCAACCACCATCACCTTCACTCACCAACAACAGAGTCAAACTCATTCTAATTGATTTTCAATTATTCTCCTCTTCTTCATGTAATGATGGAATGTCTTTCGCTTCGGGCTCCCCAAGCGTTGAAGACTCTCATATTCAGCAACTTTGTGAATGGATAAAAACCAAATTTGAAAACCAAACCAAAGGATTTGCTAAATGGTTGTTGGCAAAAGAGAAATATTTGAAACAACTCCATATAGGAATAATTGTCCAATTAATCTCGAATTCATGGACGATCGATATTGTGTTGAGAAAATCGTTCTTTACTATTCATATAATATCTTTTGGGAATATCAATGGATGATCCAAAAAATTGATATTGAAGAATTGTGCAATAATAATCAAGAATTGCTTGCAAATGTTGAGTTTTGGTTACCTTTCAAAATTGGAATCTTGAAACTCATTGTTGACAAAAAATTGAAAGTGCTGGAATATATTCCAAAAGATGTCTTATTGGAATGGAAAGAAGTCATTTTAAATGCTCTCAAAAGTGAAATCCCATGTTCCTTTTGTAATATTCCCAAGAATTTTCAAGAAAACAGAGACTGCTTATTGGAAGCATTAAGAAATCGAAGGACAAACATGAAAGACCCAGTATTAGTTGATATTTTGGAAAAATATGCTGCTGAAAAAAAAGATCGAGAGATGATTATGATGGCCATTTCAAAAGATGAAAGATATTTGAAACATTTTTCAAATGATAGAGATATTATATTGGCCCTAATTTCACATTATCACAAACACCTTAAACATGAGACATTTGATTTCTGGTTGAAAGGTATTTCTAATTCTGTAAAAGATTTTGGTTTCGTGTTGAAATTTATTTCTGAAGATGGTAGAAATGATAGAGATTTTATGTTGAAATTACTTCAAAACCCTCTTGATTATGTCTTTGAAATTGCCTCTGAAAAATTGAAGTTTTATTTTGGAATGTGTGAAAAAAAAATCCTCCAGAACTGGAAAGAGATTTATGGGAAACAAATGATAGGAATGATAATCCAAGACATATAAGTGTAAATTCTGAAATAATTTCTGAATATGCGAAAAGATGTGGAATTATTTCAACGTACTTTCTTGATTATCTTTGCGAATACTATTTGGATGGTCAGAAGGTACAAGATCTCTCATTGGATGAAACTATTATGTTCTTTAAAGACCTGAAAAATCAGAGATTAGAATTTGAATATTTTGGATGTCATATTCCTGAATCTCTTGTTTTAAGAGAACCAATTCCACTATTGAAGATCAAATTTTCT